TGAATCTCAATTCACGTGAAATTTGCATGAAAATTTTCACGTGAGTTTCATGTGTAAGCTCGTTTGAGGAAAATCTCACGTGAAATGTTTGACGTGAATTTCATGTGAGATTCATGTGAAATTCACGTGAGCAAAATTTGCCTGTGTAATAGTGAAATATTTATTTCTATATTCCGATTTTATTAATGTTTGAAAATTTTATTTTTTTGTCTAATTCGCAGTTAAAACCCCTTTAAGGTTAGGTAATAATTATTTTGTCCTATTAATTTGTTGACTTAGAAAAAGAAACAGATACTGTGAATAAAAAATTACTTACTTGAATGTTTAAATTTTAGACTGGTTAGTGAATGCTTATTCGTCTCAATGTTAGCTTGGGTGGCGTAACTACCTATCAAATGATGTTAGCTTGGGTGGCATAACTACTTATCAAATGATGTTAGCTTGGGTGGCATAACTACTTATCAAACTGAATGATTTAAAATCGTAAAAATTGTTTGACATAATTAATTAGCGTCATTGATTGGAACACATAAGCTTTATCTTGTTAACTTAATTGACAGTAAAACGTGGCTTAGCTTTGAATGACAATCACCGATTCCTTAAGCTGGCCACTGAATTGTTTTGACAAGAACCGTTATGAGTAATTAACAAAGAAGAGTATAAAACAGGTACAATGACAAGAGAAGCTCATTGTCAAAGTATCTTCAGACAAGTGATATATTAATGTACACAAATGGCTTATCAACAGAGCATTCCAGCCAAGATGTCCTTCAGTATTGAAGAACTATCAAAGAGCAGTAGAGTTTCAGATCCCGTCTGTACTGACGCTATTGTCAACCATATCCACGACATATATCTACCAAACAGCAGCCAGTCATGTACAATAGAAATGATCCTTCCACTTACCATCTCAAATCAACGTCAGCAATCCAAGAGGAAACGACAAGACGAATCATTACATTCTGATGACTGCAGTTTCAGCTCTACAGACTCCGAATCAAAAGACTGTGCTTCACCTGTTTCCTCCTCCGACGACTCAGCCAACTCCGATCAACCAAAAAAGAGAGCCAGAACTACCTTCACAAACTCGCAACTGTTGGAACTAGAACGGTACTACAGTAACAGAAAATACCTCCAGATTGAAGATCGTCCAGTGCTCGCCAAGAAACTCAAACTCAGTCAGCATAAAATCAAATGGTGGTTCCAGAATCGAAGAATGAAGGAAAAACGTCACATCAAAAGTACTGGCTACAACGGTTTACCAGGCTTATCACAGTTTGTTGGTGTTGGTAAACCTGGTTCACGAATAATGGAATCTAATGGTAACATCAGTCAGCAGTCATACAAAACATTTCCTATGGTCTCGCCGTCTATGTGTGGTATGTCACCGTTTGTACATCCTTATTATAGTGCACAGTTTTACAATAGTGTATCACCACAGACAGCGCAACAGTTCCGGACTTAAAATAAGCTTTTGACAATATATGTGCTTCAACTTTGTTAAACATTTGTGTTTGTTTTATTTATTCTGATTTGTTAATGATGTACAAATAAATGGAAATTAATATATCTTTTGTATAACGTGTCTTTTTTTGGTTATATTTTAATTGTAACCCCTCCCCAAGAAAAAAACAAAACAAAAACTAACCAAACACAGAAACGTAACAACACAAAGTAAAAAGTGAAATAGCAATTACTGTTGAATTGAATGCACATTAGCACGTATACTTTTCTCTAAACAGTTCTTCCATTGTACTTCAAATCACAAATAAGAGTAAATCAGAGCTTGTATTTCTAATTTCTGTCAGTCAGTGTCAACTGTTATTAAGTTTTGTGGCCGTTTGCACAGTTACTAGATATGTTTAATATCTGATTACTTTGGCTCTGATGAAAAGCTTATATTTGCTATCTGTGAAAGAGAAATCCTAGTGAGCCTCTGGATATTTGAAAATGACCTTGCTAGTGAAAAAAAAATCAGGGGAATATACCCTACCTCTGGTGTACTCTATAAAGAAGTTTATATGTATTTCGTTGTCTATAAGGTAGACTGGCTCCAATGGTGACTCGCCAATTGATAATGTAGACTGGCTCCAATGGTGACTGGCCAATTGATTGAACGGATAGTTTGTTATATCATCTGTATTTAACAGCATAGAGAAGATAGTAACTATTTGTTATAATACCGATAATTTTACACGATACATCATTATATTTGACAGATAAATCTGTAGTTTTCACGACACACAGAACAGGTGTAAACATGTTATTTTTCCATGTACCGCTAATAATTTATCCCATTTCTTAAGCTACATAGAAGTGCATTTTGTAATGTAACTGATTATATGCCGAATTTAACGCGATGAAAAATAAATGAAGAATGTGTCTGAGGACACGAATGCCAAATCTCAAGCTTTGCAACGAAAATGGGAAGGACGAAAGGACGGAAAGACGGAATGACGGACGGTCAAGGGTAACACTTAATGCCCCCGTCGCCTACTGTGGGGGCATAAAAAAGTAAAATAGAAAAAAAAACGAAACTCCAAGGAAAATTCCAAACGGAAAGTCCTCCATCAAATGGCAAAATCAAAAGCTCAAACACATGGAAACGGGGAATATGTCAAAGAGACAACAACCCAACCAAAGAGCATGCAGAAAACAGCCTAAGGCGACCAATGGGTTTTCGATGCAGCGAGAAAATCCCGCACCCAGAGGCGGGCTTCAACTGCATAACCCCTAAACAATAAATGTATACTAGTTCAACGAAATGGACGCAACACTAAACTGCGAAACATACAAATGAACCATTTAAAAAAAAAACCACACACACAAGACTAACAAAGGCTAAGTTCATGACTTGGGACAAGCACAAAAATGCCGTTAAACATGTTTTGTGAGATATCAACCCCCTATACCTCAACAATGTTAGAACTACAATTTTGCATAGGCAAATTAATATCGTTCACTCAGCGGAATTCGAACTCAATCTGTTGAGGCATCAACGACTACTACTTCTGCACTGTGTTCAGTGCCTTAGTCAACGCGGCTCAAGACAAAAATAAAACACATACCGATACATAGACTATTGATTGAGTAAAAAGAACCAAACTAAATCCCGATATAAACTCTATTAAACATATTATATATAAAAAAAAATATGATATGATTGCCAACAAAGCAACTCTCCACCAGAGACCACACGACATTTAAGGTTGGCAACTATAGGTCACCGTACGGCCTCCAACAAAGAGTGAAACCCATTGCGCATAGCAAGCTTGCAAAGGACTCAAAAACTAACGGCCTGATTTATGTACAAAATAAAATACGAAAAACAATTATGATATACAGCAACAAACGACAACCACTGAATAAATTACAGTGTGGCTCTTGACTTGGGACAGGCGGTTTCAAAGTTTTTTCAATTACCAGTAAATGGTTCTCCAATGAGATTGGCGATATATAACTCAGAGGAGCCATGATCTACAAACAATTATTAATTGTCGAATTTAACAATAGTTAACTTGAAATCCATGACTTTAACTATACTCTAATTATCTAGAATAGTGAACATACAAAGCAATTTACATTTGTCAAATAAACATACTTTTTATACGACCGCAAAATAATTTTGGGGTCGTATATTGCTATCACGTCGTCGTCGGCGTCGTCGTCGTGGTCCGCAAAAGGTTCAATATCACAAACGGAAGGTTGGGATTGTTTTTTGGGGTGATTGTCCTAACCGTTTAGGAATTAGGGTCCAAAAAGGGCCCAAAACTAGTATTTTTCTAGTTTCAGGATAATAACTTGTGTATAAGTATTTTGATTGCTCTGAAATTGTACCACAAGGTTCAATACCACAAGTAGAAGGTTGGGATTCATTTTGGGGGTAATTGCCCAATCCGTTCAGGAATTAGGGGCCAAAAAAGGGTATAAAACAAGCATTTTTCTGGTTCTCAGACAATAACTTGTGTTTAAGTGTATAGCTGTCTCTTAAATTGTACCACATTTAAAAAAAAAGAGAGTTTCTTCAAATATTATTCTTTTTGGAAAAGGAGCGGGGGGGGGGGGGGGGGGGGAGAGGGGAATACAAAAATTTGTTTTTTTTTTGGGGGGGGGCAAATTTTCCACTCAAGATTTAAGAAATAAAAAAGAAAATTTCTTCAAATATCATCTTTTTTAAATAGGGGGGGGGGGGGTGAGGCGTGGTCAAAAAATAAATTATTGGGGGGGGGGGGGTCAATTTTTTTCCCTCAAGGTTTAAGAAATTGTCAATTTTCCAAAGAAATTTATTTTGCTAATTCTTTGTTTAATGTCTGAAAACAGATTTACTATAAGTATTGCGCAACAGCACAGTGTATTGCACAACAGCAAGAAATCTTCAATTGAATATAAATTCAAATCATATAACAAATTTCAAGTTCTTTGACTACATTTATTCTGTGTCAGAAACCTATAATGTGTCAAATATTTAATTACAATCCAAATTCAGACCTGTATCAAGCTTGAATATTGTGTCCATTTTTGCCCCAACTGTTCAGGGTTGGACCTCTGCGGTCGAATCCAGCTGCGCTCGGCGAAGCAGTTTATTTGTTTTGAAAAAGTACTAGACAGGCAACAGATTAAGTTAGATATATTAATTGCTAAAAAGCCCCAAAACGACCCCATTTTGGAAAGTAGAAATAAGGTATAAGTTAAACATTTCAATTTGACTATATCAACTTTATTGACGTTATATTCAGTGTGATGACATATGAAATTATACCTTCTCACTGTTGACATGCTCAGCTGGAAAGACATAAGTATATAAATTACTTTTGTGAAGTCGTTGTCTTTCCTTTACACAAAGACATACAATATTCAGGTAGGATTTAGAGCTCTTTTTTGTTAATATTTTCTTTTACGGATGAACCATAGGGACGGAATAAAAAAATATCAAGATTCATGAAAATGAAAATGTGTCAAGGTTATATGAAATTTAAATTTTAGATTGCACGGGGACAAGAATGGCATCACAATTAGGATTAGCAAACAGAGTAAAAGACAAAGCCTGCGAAGGAAATATATGGTAAGTTATGAACGATATGAAGGTTAACGCCAAAATGATGCGACCACTTTATTTTGAAAGGTGGAATTGCAATCGTCGGGGCCTTTTAAAGCTAACTATTACGGTATAAACTTTGCTCACTGTTGAAGGCCATACTGTGACATTTAGTTGTTTACACTCCTCATCCTTTGGTCGCAGGTGGGTAGTTGTCTGGCAATCACACTCGCAGGTGGGTAGTTGTCTGGCAATCACACAACATCTTTTTTTATACTATCGTTCATCCAGTATCTTGACAATCTGTACTGTAATGAAAGTCTTGCCACGTCATCTTGCAGCTCAGATTACTAGTATTACAAGAGGTATTTCACAGGACAGTAATTTCATGTAGATACCTTTGATTAAGGTCAATTTCCATATTTCCATTTTTGTAATCTTGATGTTTACAATTTTTTACATTACAATTGAATTTTTTTTTAAGTAACTATGTATTTAGTGTTTTTTTTATCTACTAAGTACTTTATTTCTACAGGGTTGAAATATTAGGACTAGTTTCTAAGCATGGAGCGCTAAACATGGCACTGGTACGTATACAGCCGAGAGTAGAATAGAAAAGTAGAAAAATATAATACTTACTCACATACGCTGTTGAAAATAGTAGATTGTTTTAAGAGCTATATAAGAGTCAGTTTTTATAAGAAATGAAGCGAACGTATGAAAAAACAAATGAAATACGTATTGTAATGAAGTCATAATTTTCATTTCCATTTTCTCTGAACTAGTACACATTTTTGTTTAGGGGCCAGCTGAAGCCTGCCTCCGTGTGCGGGATTTTCTCACTGTGTTGAAGACCCATTGGTGGCCTTAGGCTGTTTTCTGCTCTTTGGTCGGGTTGTTGTCTCTTTGACACATTCCCCGTTTCCATTCTCAATTTTATAATATTTTGAAATTCTAAATGTTTTCACAAATGGAGACTATTTAAGTAATTGTGAATCAATGATTGATTGACTTTATTTGGTGTTTAATATAAAAAGAAGATGTGGTATGACTGCCTATGAGACAACTCTCCACAATAGACTAAATGACACAGAAATTAACAACTATAGGTCACCGTACGGCCTTCAACGCCACTTTCATCATTATTGGCTATATCGTGGCGGCAAGTTTGTATTAGTGAAGAAAGCCGGAGCGCTTCGAGATAACAACCAACATTCGATAGGAAAAATGCAATTGAGATTTGAGTCGAACGTACCTGCCACGTGCATAAGGTTCGAACTCACGACCTTAGTATTATAACAGGCTAGTGATACAGTAGACGAACTACTAAGGCCACTCGGCCACCGAGGCCCCATGAATCAAGGAAAATGCAATCTAACTGAAATGAAATAGTAATTGATGAGTCAGAAAAATTGCCACATGGTAGCTTACCAATTTGAAGCTTTTTACCAACTATCAACAAAGCTCTGATTTATACTGTAAATTTAGAAATTTTTGTGTGCATTTGTTTTTGCGATTGTAATAATAAAAGTTCATAAAAAATACGATAATAATTATAAGTAGGTTCTCTTGATCATTTGGCAATGAACGTTTGCATTGTTACTGTGCATGCATTGAATGAAAACGATACTTTTTCAGGGTTTCCCGGATTTCAGACCGCCTGAAAATGTTCTTGAAGCTCTAAGCAATGCTGCTGTTGGAAACAATCACATGAACAATCACTATACAAGAGCTTATGTAAGTTATATCAGAGGGTTGAAAAGCTTAAATTAAAGCATAATTCTCCATTTTGTTTCAAATTATAAAGAATTTAGCAACACCAAAGGAATAGTTGTATACCTACTAATGACTCGGATTTCCACAAGTTTCAACAATTAACATCATACATTATTTCCATAAATCAAATACTGTAAATTCAGAAATTATTGCGATTTTGTCATTTTAGAATAAAATGCGATTTTAATTTTTGCGATATTGAGAAAAATCCTGTTTAATTTTTATAAAAAATTTCAAAATGCGAGTTTAAATTATTGCGATTATAACCATGACGCATTTTTCGCAATAATAAAAACATCGCAATAATTTCTGAATTTACAGTATACATGTACCGTTATATAATACTGAACACCGGATTTATAAAAAAAAAATAACAGTAACATTCTGTAACATTTGAAATCGGATTTGTACAAGAAAACATTATATCAGTGCAGATAAAAAAAATTTACGCTGTAAAAAGAAATCGGCATTTGACTAATAAATGAGGTAATAAACTGCATTTAAAAATACAAATGAAGTTAATTATGTCAATCATATTTCAGGCGGGGCGTGGCGGGCGTGCGCCTTCCTAAAATTTGCAAAGCATGGGTTGTCCTCAGCTTAATAAAGTATCTGAAGAGAATATTTCGATAATTTTACGTCAAAAAAAATTTCGCCCCCTAACCCAAATTACTAGATCCGCCCCTGCATTTGTCATCAATTACGCAAAAACAAAGAAACTCATGTAATCTGCATGTTGGGAAAGGGGCGAAAAGTATCCAACACGCGCTAATTGCTGACCAGAAAATGGATGTTCAATGGTAATTTTAAGAATGGTGTAATATACATTACAGGGGCATCCGCGCCTTATCGACACTCTTGCTAAACTCTATAGTATAACCATGGGGAAAGAGATTAACGCCATGACCAACATAAACGTCACCGTTGGAGCATTTGAAGCTTTATACTGTACCTTTATGGGACTAATAAATCCTGGAGACGAGGTTAGTAATCCCAAATCATATTAATTTATTTTCAACTCTCCGTTAAATACCAAGTCCCGCAACGTACAAACAACACTAGTACTCCTGAAATTCATTTTTGATAAACGCGATTTTTCAATGTTCAATATCTAATTAAAAACATATGAATTAAAGAGACACGGGACACATATCTATGAGACAGCAACCCAGCATTAGAAAAAAAACCCATTAAAATCTTCTAGGGGTCGGCATTAGTCTTCCGTTTTGTTTTTTCGAGTAGTTCGTATTTGAAGTTTCCTCACTTCTGATTTAACAAACGTCTACAGTGTAGAAATTTAACAGAGATTAACAATTATCTGTCATCAAAACGTAATTCACTGGATATTAACAAAGACATTGGAAATTTAACAAGAGACAACCACAAAACGATGCTCCAGACTTATGACAGACACACGAATGGACAACCACTAACGATGCGCCAGATTTAGGACAGACACACGAATTAACAATCACTGACGATGCTCCAGACTTAGGACAGACACACGAATGGACAATCACTGACGATGCTCCAGACTTAGGACAGACACACGAATGGACAATCACTGACGATGCTCCAGACTTAGGACAGACACACGAATGGCCATATGGTGGATTTAAATTCGTTTTTTTAGGATCTCAATCCTTCCTTATCAATCTATAAAAAATACATTAAAGAACGAACAGTAAAAATCAGTACACGAAAAACAGTTAACTCTGTATATATGAGAATTATATTTTAAATCAGTTCACATTATAATTCCGCCATGTCTTTGGTTTATGAATCATTTTAGGTTATACTGATTGAACCATTTTATGAACCCTATAAGGAAATGCTACGATTAGCAGGTGCAGTGCCTGTCTACATACCACTGAGAATGGTAAGTATGTCAAAGTCATATATTATATATATTTATCAAAACATAAATCATGTGTAAATAGGACTATTCAGATAAGCTAAATCGTACGGATGACATACTAGCTATCTAGTATATATCTGAAAATCTGAAGCTTAAAAAGAGGCCACACATTTCAGCGTGTCCACTCTTGTTAAGATTGTGATTTCAGATCCATGGCAATGAGGTCGAAGTCACTTAAATTGGAACTTGTCAAACAGATATGTGCTCCTTACAGTAATACACAACAAATAGTAAAACCTATAAGTTAAGTTACTGGGGATCAATTAATAAGATATGACCCTTTTTATGAAAACTTGACATTAATCAATGATCCATGAAATAAGGTCAAGGTCAGGTGATCCCATATCTTCTATTGTTAACGTATTACTTATAATTGATAAGATCACGTGATAAAAAAAAAACCTTCAATTTTTGTTCAGTCATCAAACCTTGAAAATGAGGTCAAGGACAACGGGACATTTGTCAGACGGAAATCTCAAACCATAAGGCATATATCTATAATATATTGATTATTCAGTCTTCTTCCTTCAGAAGTGAAATACTTACACAAATTGTTTACGCTGGACGCCATCACCGCCATTTGCCTCAAATTACATTCTTAGAACAAGTACAATTGCTGACACGACTGACAAAAGTTAACCAATTAACAACACAAATTAAAACACGATGAAAATATGTGGAAATGACAATAAACTGTTTCATAACAAAATATGTTAGCATTTATTAAGATATTTCTATTTGCGATAGAAGAATACTAGTAAAAGTATAACAAGCAGCGAGGACTGGACATTTGACACCAGTAAAATGAGAGAAGCCTTCAATAGTAAAACAAAAGCTATAGTGGTCAACAACCCATCGAATCCACTTGGAAAGGTGCGTATAATTCTATAAAATGATTTACAATATGACAAATTAGGGGTGGATCTACGGATTTGAGATGCCCAAGGTGGTACACATTTTAAGGGGGATTGTGTTTATCTGTCCACCATTTTTGAAAATCCTGGTACCATCACTGTCACTGCATATTTGAAATCACTAAAACAATTGTATGAAGAAACAGGAAATACAAGGATGTGCCCCTGAAACATTTCAATAACTTCATTAAATGTTTAGTATGGATAGGATTCAAGCAAATACTGGCACTACAAAGCAGTGAACCGGACACGAAATACTGGAAACAAACAGAAAAAAAAAAAATCACTTGCTGAATATCAAACAACACTTCATCGTATCATTCGTTAAATGATACAATCGATGTGTGTCATGGTCAACTGCTTTGCAGCTTACCTACTTTACTAATTTTTCTCAAAATATTACAGGTGTTTAAATTTGAGGAGCTGGATCTGATTTCCAAGTTGTGTACTAAGTATGATGTCATGTGTATTGCTGATGAAGTGTATGAATGGCTTATATATGATGGAAAAAAGCATATTCGAATTGGTAAGTTTCTCTTTCAAATATTTGCATGTTAATATTAAGCGCGGAATGAACTTGAAGTTTAGTTTTTGCTTCTGCCAGATAATGACAACAATCAACGAATAGATTATACTGCCATCGATTTGGTGCGCATATTGACCTCCAAAATATTTGATTTTAATTTAGGAGTTATTCACCCTCAAATCATTCTTTATCTGGAGGTTCAACTTTTGTTTGTCGTTATCGATACTAATGCTAACGTTACTACTCGATTTGAATATTTTTAGGGAGATCAATCGCTAATCGTCGAAGTAGTGATGTTACAAAGATTGGTCCGAAATGTGAAATTATATTATTAAAACCTATATCTATTTTGCTGCTTGTATACATCAGAATTAATTATATGTTCTCAGCAACCTTACCTGGTATGTGGGATAGAACCGTAACAATAGGCAGTGCAGGTAAGACGTTTAGTGTAACTGGTTGGAAAGTTGGCTGGGCTGTAGCTCCTGCAAACCTTATTCAGGGTATAAAGACTATCCATGATGCAGTGCTTAGAACTAATCCCACTCCAACTCAGGTATATAAAATTTTATTTTCGCAATGAGATATTCAATCACTCCTTAAACTGAATTCTTTGTGTAATACCAAGTTAGTTGAATATGTTAATTGCAACGGAGACTACCATAACACAGAGCTGTGTTATAGAAGTCTAATAATAGTTATAGATTGCAATCGAGGAATATTGCGATCGTACTAAGTTTGGTTATGTTCTACAAGGAGTATTAAATTGCTGTTCAGTTAATACATCTAGTGTCTTGTAAAAGCCAGTTGCAAGTGAAGCATTTAAAGTATTTTACAAAAGATATGTAAATATATGTAAAGGACCCTTGAAGCCCTTGGGATTTCAATAGTATATTCGATTTTGGCTACTATTGTACAGCATATATACAAATTTTAATATGAAGCAACCTTTCTGTAAATACATGTTTTATTTTTATAGCTTTTTTTTTCTGGTATCCATCAATTCTTCATTTTACAGGAGGCTATTGCAGTTTCATTAGAAACAGAATTATCCCGTCTTGGCTCGTCAGAATGTTATTTCAACTCTCTACCACGGGAAATGGAAATGAAGCGTGATCTCCTCTGTAAATACCTCAGTCAGGCAGGAATAACTGTAGTGGTGCCTGAAGGTGGCTATTTCATTGTAGCAGATATATCCACCCTCGGTAGGACCACCATAGCTTTCATTTTTTTTTGCATCACATTTCTACTGGTAGGGAATATATTTCCACTAGTAACAGTTAATTTAAAATACCATAAGTTTTATTTCTTTTCCCCAATTGTAGATTAATATTTTTAAAACATATTTTAAAATGTTTTGCTGCGTATGTAGTTTTTATTTTACTACCTTCAGGAAAGGGAAGCAGTGCTGAATCTATATTTGAACATTTTAATCACAATGTGGTCCAGTCTACTAGGAGCATACTAATAACATCCTTGGTCTATTATATTTGGTATCCATAAGTAATTCTCCCCACCATACTTGGAATACTATTGTACCCAAGTGAATTTTAATTCATTTTTCAAGTCTGGTCATTTTGGAGATTTGTATTAAGTGTGCTACACATTAAAGCATAAAGAATGGAATGACAAGAATGTCTTCATCCTTGCCCTTAAAACGGATGCTAGATTGGGCACAATAATCTTATTGTATATTTCAATTCAATGTGTTTTTAATTTAGATACTAATGGTTGGGTGACAAGAGATGAAGATGGACAGGCATACGATTACAAATTTGTCAAATGGGCAATACACAAAAAGGTAAAGCTGTATCAACAAGGGTATGGGCAATATTATTACAGTAGTATTTCCTTGGTTAAATTGACAATACTATACCATGATAGTATTTCCTAAGTTAAATGAACATAGTAGTTGTCCTTGCTTAAAAGGACACTGATGCACCATTAAAGTATTTTTTAGGTTAATGAACAATACTGTGCTATTGTAGTATATCCCATGCTAAATATGCAATACTATTCCATAGCCATATTTTTTAAGATTATATGGCCAATATTTTTACCACAGTAATTGTTCTTGCATAAATGGACAATACTATACCATAGTAATATTTCCTATATTAAATGGACAATATTATACCAAGATAGAAGTATTCCCTATGTTAAATGGACAATACTATACTATAGTAGAATTTCTTAGGTTTAATGACCAATACTATAACTTAATGGTATTTCCTAGGTTAAAGAGCAGATACTATATCATAGTAGTATTTTTGGTAGGCTAAAGGGCAATAGGAAAAGAGAATTTATGATCTGAAGGATAATGAGATTCAGTGGTTGTCATTGGTTCATATCTGTCATATTTTTTTTTTCATGAATTGTTTTGTTATAAATTAGGCCATTAGTTTTCTTGTTTGCATAGTTTCACATTTTTTCATGTTGGGGCCTTTTATAGCCAAATATACGGTATGGGTTTTTATATGACCGCAAAAAAAATTTTGTGGTCGTATATTGGTATGACATTGGCGTCGTCGTCGTCGTCCGAAGACGCATTAGTTTTCGCACTCTAACTTTAGTTTAAGTGAATGGATCGCAATGAAATTTTACCATAAGGTTCAATACCACAAAAGTAAGGTGGGGATTGATTTTGGGGGTTATGGTACCCACAGTTAAGGAATTAGGGGCCAAAAAGGGGCCAAAAATAAGCATTTTTGTAACTTCCAGACATAACTTGTGTGTAAGTGTATGGATTTCTCTGACATTGTACCACAAGGTTCCATATCACAAAGGGAATGCTGGGATTGATTTGGGGGGTAATTGCCTTCAAATTTTAGGAATTAGGGGCAAAAAAGGGGCAAAAAAGATACATTTTTCTAGTTTCATGACAATAACTTGTGTGTAAGTGTATGGATCTCTCTGACATTGTATCACAAGGTTCCATATTACAAAGGGAATGCTGGGATTGATTTTGGAGGTAATTGCCTCCAAATTTTAGGGATTAGGGGCCAAAAAGGGGCAAAAAACAAGCATTTTTCTAGTTTCATGACAATAACTTGTGTGTTAGTGTATGGATCTTTATGAAGTTGTACTACAAGGTTCCATATCACAAAGGGAAAGCTGGAATTGAGTTTGGGGGTAATTGCCCAAAAAGTTTAGGTATAAGGAGCCAAAAAGGGGCCAAAAATTAGCATTTTTCTAGTTTCCAGACAATAACTTCGTGTTCAAATGTATGGATCTCTCTGAAATTGTACTGCAAGGTACCATACCACAAAGGGAAGGCTGGGATTGATTTTGGGGATAATTCCCTCAAAATTTTAGTAATTAGGGGCCATAAAAGGGCAAAAAACAAGCATTTTTCTAGTTTCAGGACAATAACTTGTGTGTAAGTGTATGGATCTTTATGAAATTGTACTGCAAGGTTCGATATCAAAAAGGGAAAGCTGGGTTTGAGTTTGGGGGTAATTGCCCTAAATGTTTAGGAATTTGGGGCCAAAAAGGGGCCAAAAAACAAGCATTTTTCTAGTTTCCAGACAATAACTTGTTTTCAAGTGTATGGATCTCTCTGAAATTGTACTGCAAGGTACCATACCACAAAGGGAAAGCTTGGATTGAGTTTGGGGTGATGAATCATAAGGGGGTTCAAAAAAATTGGGGGGGGGGGGATTTTTTTTCCTTTTTTCATACATGTGAACCTCCCGACGGGAGTACAATAATCCCGTTTTCAGGGGTCTCCTCCCGACTTCGCGTTGAAGAGAAAAAAATCCCGTGTATGAAATTTTTCATGAATGAAAAATTTCTGCCCAACATATCATCTCAGGACATCTCAGACATCTGGTGTAACTGACGTCACCTGAAGTTATATTTTACCTGTAAATCAATTAACATGCATAATTATATGGCTTCACTTGTCAGCTTGGGTGTCAAACATACTGGTAATCAACGATTTTTACCTCAGGCTATTAAACTGCCGTTGTGTAATAAAAACTTTGTGTATTTATTGGGTTACTTCCCTTGATTTATCCTGTTTTAAGTTACTTTCCTTTAAATAATGTAAATTTTTAAAAGAATATAAATAAAATATAAATTGAACAAATAATCATAAAAGGATGGTAATTAAATGATTTTAAATGTCTTAGGACAAATAAAAAAATAATAATTTGAAAATTATTTGAGGGTTCTATACTTTCTTTCAAGGCTTAAATTGAATTCATATACTAACTATGACCCATATTTCAGACTTAAACGAATTTCTGATTATTCAAATAAAATCTAATTGCAAATGCAGATAGGTAAACAAATGATCTGATTGCAATGTTTGTCCTACAGAATTATGATAAAAAAGATATGAATTGAAAAATTTAAAGAACATACTAAAAAAAAAAGAATGTTAGATTGAACATGTAGAATATAAAAATAAAGAAACTTTAAAGTACAAGGGTATTATAAACATAATACATAATACATTCAGATTGAAAGTTGAAGAAAACACACTTTAAAAGACACAATTTTTACAGCACACGGTTACATTTATGACAAAATTTATGTCGATTAAAAACCTCCTGATCTGAGTCCTAATCTCCTGACCAAAATTTCCCAATCTCCTGATCTGAGTTTCACAGTCCATCACATGTATGTTTTTTTCTTTAAAATTTTCCATTTTAAATTGGTTATTTCTGATTTATATATAAAAGCAAATAATAATGATTATGATATTGTTTGAATAGGTAAATTAAAAATTTTTAAGTTCTTAGACCACTTTCATTCTGTGTCAGAAACCTATGCTGTGTCAAATATTTAATTACAATCCAAATTCAGTGCTGTATCAAGCTTGAATGTTGTGTCCATACTTGCCCCAACTGTTCAGGGTTCGACCTCTGCGGTCGTATCAAGCTGCGCCCCAGCGGAGCATTTTATTCTCATTGTTGAAGGTATTATTGTGGCCTATAATTGCTTACATCCACTTCCTTTGAACTCTTGTGGATAATTGTCTCATTGGCAATCATACCACATCTCCTTATTAAAATTGCACTATTTTCTAAAAACACAGCTAGTCTATCTATGCAAAAAAAAGAGTACCATATTACATAAAATGGCTCATATATTATTACAAACTAACATCATTAATAAACTATTGTTTTAGAAATTCTGTGCAATGCCAGTCTCCATATGTTACAGCCAAGAACATAAATATCTAGGAGAAAAGTATGTGAGAATCTGCTTTGTCAAGGTAAGAACATAAGTAGTAGTTGAGTTAAAAACTAGCCACTGGGAATATATATGTGATGTCTTACTGCCTTTAAAGTATACTGATGATAAACTTTTACATCAATTTGTAATTTGGATATTATCTAAAAGTTAAATCACATAATGTAGTCAAATCAATTCTAGAAGGAAATATTGGCATAATTTTCCATATGGAAAGAAATTTCCTGCAACTATCTGAAATTGGACAAATGAATATATATGAATTGGCAAATTTCTACAAATATATTATTGAGGTAAATTTGAAGCAACTGTCCCAATTCATATAATGGAAGCAATGGTTTATTTACCACAAGCTTGGTTAATCATGATCCCAGATTTTATATCTAATTGTAGACTGATGAAACCCTAAATAAAGCAAAAGAAATCCTTCTCAACTGGAACCTTACAAGACAAGATGATAATGAACAAAACAAATACAAGGAACATGAAACACTTAAACTGCCAAATGGAACCATTTAAAAAAGTGGCATGTCTTCAAAGTTTTATTGTATTATTAGGAATTTATCCAATAGCTTTTATGCTTAGAGCAATGTGTCTGCAAAAGAGGAAAGACATAGATGGGTACAATGTTATAAAAATTTGTGTACTTTTATTATTTGTTTGTTTGATTACATTACATTTTGTTTTGTTTTAATGCGATAGTTGGAGCTGGCTTTTGTATATAACAGTAGTAAAAGACCTATTTGAAACATTACTTTTTTCATTCTCTTTCCAATCCCTGGACCATCTCATCTTCTCTTTTTTTCATTGTGCTTTTCAGATCATTTAACTGTCACAGATGTTTAAAGGAACACTTTGATCTATGTTTCCTCAATAACTGTCGCATGCATATTGATTGAAATGTGTATCTTTGACCTTTTTTTATTTGTCTTAAATTTGTATAATTGTAAATAAACTGCTTCGCTGAGCGCAGCTGGATACGCCCACAGAGGTCCAACCCTGAACAGTTGGGACAAAAATGGATACAATATTCAAGCTTGATACAGGTCTGAATTTGGATTGTAATTAAATATTTGACATATTATAGGTTTCTGAATAAATGTAGTCAAAGAACTTGAAATTGGTTATATGAATTGAATTTATATTCAATTAAAGATTTCTTTCTGTTGTGCAATACACTGTGCTGTTGCGCAATACTAGTAAATCTGTTGTCAGACTTTAAACAAATAAAGTTCAATAACTTCTCAAAGTTCTATTAGAAATTTATTAAAAAAACTAAAGGGAGGTATCTTAATAGATATAAATCAGTCATCAAAGTTTAATGAAAACTGCTCTAAGCACTTTATGGATATTGTCAAAAAACTTGAAAATCACCCCTTTTTTATGAATAAAATCTTGGAACTCCGAAACATAAAATCTAAAATTTATAAAAATCAAAAGGGAGCTTACAACAATAGATATAAACAATTTACCAAAGTTTCATAAAATATGCTGAAAGCATTTTTGAGTTATTGTCCGAAAACTGGAAAATCCCCCTTTTTGTAACGAATAAAACCCCATAAATCAGAAACGTATTGTCTAAAATTTATAAAAATCAAAAGGGAGCTCATGCCGATAGCATTAAACAATTCACTAAAGTTTCTTGCAAATTGGTGAAATTGTTTTTGAATTATTGTCCGAAAACTGGAAAATCCCCCCTTTTTTAATGAATAAAACTCCAAAATTCAGAAACGGTACATCCGAAATTTATAAAAAACGAAAGGGAGCTCACGTCAATAGATATAAACAATTCACCAAAGTTTCATGCATATTGGTAAAAGCGTTTTTGAGTTAATGTCCAACATGTTGACGACGGACGGACGGTCAACGGTATACCATAATACGTCCCGTAAACGGGCGTATAAAAAACTATTCTGTGTTTACCTTATCTATGTGTATTTTAAATTGTATACATGTGTACTTATAGTGAATATATAGCTTTGATAAATGATTATAGATTATTACATTGGTAGCAATGAATTACATTGATTTCCCAGTCAAATAAAAACCGATAATTTCACTCCTCTGACGTCATACAACAATAGGCGTTGTCAAGACGTCGATAACGTCGGATCAAAACAAATTGTGAATGCGTAGAAAAAGATATAGTTCCTTACGTTTTCTACTTTAATTTCATAAAAAAGCCATTTGCCCAATGTAATAAAAAGAATAACTAATCAAAGAATTCAAATATCGAAAAATATTCAACTCGTGACCGAACAACACTGATAATTAACTCATGCGCTACGCGCATTCGTGAATTAATGTGTTGTTCGGTCACTCGTTGAATATTTTTCTCTATTTGAATTCTTCGATTAGTTATTCTATAATTATTACAAGAGAAAATAGAATAAAGAAGTGAATAAAGAAAATTTGTTTACTTTAATTATCTTGCTTTTCATTTGTTTTTTTTTGTGTTTGTTTTTGCTTGTTTTAACATTTAAATGATTCCTTAAAAGTTCCCATAACCACATCTGGTCTTCTCAGACTGAAAAAAATTAACAGTCTATAAAACTTTAATCAACCCCATCAATCAAATCCAAACTTTAACATATAGATGCCTGTGATGCACATTCTTAAGATTGATGTTCTTCAGGAACACACATAAAATAGCGATTCATTTACTGTTTGTTGCTGCATTTTTGTTTTGTCCATGGCTTATGACAAAGTTTGGGCACATTCACATTTAACTAAGTAAATAAAACATAAAATATGCTAACAAGTTTATCCAATCAAAATAAAACAAGTAATAAATATTTAAGAAAAGTATAAATGAACTGTTTGACATAATAAACATTCTAAATGGTAACATCAAATCAATCTGTAGTGTTTAAAGATTTTTATGCTGAAAATAAGGTAGAAGAGTGAATATCTAAATTAACAAATATTTGATGAGTAGCATAAATATATTTGAATATTTTAATATACCAGTTTTTTGTGTGTGTAGCTTTTGCTTTAAATGTTAAGTGAAGGGCCCTGAAGAGAAGACTGGGCTACTGAACACAATTTTACAGAAGCCTAGTTGGCAACTATGTTACAACTATTGAGGTATATATTTGAATTATCAATGTTTGATATTAACTCCTCTTAGTATATCTTTTTTAGGTTTAAAGTTATTGAACATTCTAGATATGAAGAGGTTATCATATACAATGATGTTTTTTAATGAAGTGTTAAACACGAAATTTTAATGGAAAATTTGAGTAGAAATTTGTATTATGCACATTTTGCTGAATAAATAGATACACTAATAATAGATAAATATGCAATGTATACACATGATATTTGAAGTATAGGAAATACATATTTTATAACAAAAATATTTTTAAAGTCTGTGGTTCTTTATGTTCTTTTTCAAATGCAATGGTGAAGCAAAAATGTTTATGTGCATGTTTGATATACACTAGATACTGTATTGAGTTTCATTTGGTCCATTTTCATTTCACATTTGATGTTCTGAGTGATTTGTTTAGGTAAACAATTATTGTCAACAGACTTTTAAACTGGGCATTGGACAATATGTGTATTGAATCTGTAGGTTGTAGGTGATATTCATTCTTTTCCTCCATAAGAATTATTGGTCATTAATTTAACATCCTTTTTTCAAATCTTGTGTCAGATATCTTCAGCTGATAAATATTTGGTCCTTTAGTTGTAAAATTCCTGACTATCAATGAAGCTTCTTGTGTCTAGAAGTGATATTTTTGGAGTTGGTTAACCTGTACTTTCCATTGTAAAAATCATTGATTATTGCTAAAACTTCTTCTGTTTCAGAAGTCTGAAGTTGGTAATCCTTAGGTCCTTTCTTCTGTTTAAATCCTTGATTATTACTTACCCGGTAAGCTTCTTCTATTTTCAGAAGTCAGAAGTTTGAAGTTGGTAAACCTTAGGTCCTTTCTTCAGTAAAAACCCTTGATTATTAAGAGAGCCAATAAAGCCTTCAAAGTCCAGCATTTGTACTCCACATTCCTGAAAAATAAACTTGAATATGAAAAACAGGAGATGTGGGTATACCTTCACAAAACAGTGATCTGACAAACAAAATAACCAAAAGACATCTAGAAGGCAACATAAATATCTTGGACGATAGACTATTGTCTATACAATATGTCAACCTTTAATTGGCTTTATTATTCTGTGCGGCTTACCATGAAATTGTATGAAAATTAAGACACATGGTAGTACTTATTTATTTGTCAATATGCTAGAAAATGAAAGGATATGGAGTAAATGTACATGGGACAAAATCACACACAATACATAGAAAACATAGAAAATTACCAATGAACAGGGCTTTTATTCCTGTTCTTCATCTTGACAGTTGATGTAGGGTCTTCAACAATGAACGAATCATTCATACCCTACAACAAGGTCAAGAAGGCCCCTACTTAAGCGGTACTATATGCTAGTTTTTTTAAATTTCTGTCAGTCTGTGAAAGAAAGAGTTGGAAGATACCAAGGGGACATTTAAAACTCTAATATTCCTATTTTACAGTACAGTTAAACCTGTATTAAGCAGTCACTGTTAGGAAGTATCAAAAGTGACCGCTCAATAGAGGTGATCTTTGAAATGAGGTTCCGAAAAAATTTTGATTCCAATATCGCCTATGGTCGGGATCTGGGCAAATTGTTTTAGTCTTTTCAATTGTTAGAGTTATGGTTCTTGCGCCAGTGAAATAGAAAAGGCGGATTCCAGCGCTGTAAACGTGAAGAAAACATTCAAAATATATTAATATTCGTGGAGAAATAAGTTGGTGAAACACTTTACACTGGAAACGGAAAGAAGTGGAACACGAGAAATTCACCTACGATTGCGGAAACTCAGTGTTTCATTTCGACTGATACTGAACACATATATTTTTCGTCATGATTATTTCAGTAGTTAAAAGTTGAAATGAAGATTTCGTGCAACAAATAGCTGACCTGTTAGACAGGTGACTGCTAATTTGAGTTAAATTATATAGAGAAAATGTTTGGGAGGGTCAGAAATTGACCATTAGAGACTGGTGACCGCTGAAACGAGGTGACCGTTAAGGCAGGTTTGACAGTATGAAGTATTGATTTAAAGAATATAAAAATTGAAATGATTGTTAAGTTCTGCTGAATCAATATATTTTTACCTATTATGTCTGTTTACTTTGCTTACACATTTTTGTCAATATAATGGAATTCTATGCAACTGTCCTACAAGTGAGAGGTTTAGCTAGCTATAAACCAGGTTTAATCCATCATTTTCTTCATAAGGAAATGCCTGTACCAAGTCAGGAATATGACAGTTGTTTTGATGTGTATGAGCTTTTGATTTTGCCATTTGATAGAGGACTTTCTGTTTTGAATTTTCCTTAAAGTTCGTTATCTTTTTTTTATCTAACTTTATACACATTGTATAAATCAAAGGTAAAATAAAAATTAAAAAAAACATGGTAAACATGGAACAGGTTACCAGTACAATATTATGATTACTTCAAGCTATTCAAGTTTAGCTGGTTAATCCACCATATGCAGAAAAAGATCTACAACTTGAATGTCAGCATTCAACAATTAATTTTGCTGACTAAAAGCCAATGGCACAGTTTCATTAAAAGACTTAATTATCAACATATCAACCACAATACGCTACTGTGGATTCATTTATTTTCTTTGGTACCAATTTTCGTGAATTAAGGAATATTCACATTTTCATGGATATTTAATTTCATGGTTTTGTGATATTTTGCATACAAGCCTATAGAAAATTTGTAATTTGTTGATCATTTTAATTCGTGGTTCACCTATACCCACGAAAATTGGTATCCAACGGATACTAATGAATCCACAGTAAATCCTTTAATTACTACCTTAGCTATTTGCCTCATTTGCTGTACAGTAAAAATAGAGTTATAAGTTTGTTCAGCCACTCTCTGCAATCCAGCTATAAAACGTTTTGGCTGAAAAATATCAATTAGAATCTTAAAAACATGCATTAAAAATTTGAAAGATAATTCATAAAACAATAATCCTTATATGATTTCCATATCTACAAAGACTTGATTTTATTCCCTTTCTTTATGCTTCAGTAGATAATTTTGGTAGACGACTTTCATAACTTATTAAACAAAATACTATAGGACTTACCTATTTTAAATAAAGTAATAGCCCAATTTAAATGATAGACCCCAATTTTTCAAAGTGGACGATAAATACTGACTTGATATTTCATAATAGCTCTAACTGCTGTTAATAGATTACTGTGCTAAAGCTTCAAACTTTGTTTAAATCTACAAGAGCTGTATGTATTGACATTCTTGACATACCAATTAATAAGTCTTGTTCTTAATGACATACAGAACTAACCTGTGATCTACCACTCATTCCAGAGCCATGCTGAGAACGTTTAAAATCCAATCCACCAAACTGGTCTGTATATGTATCTACCATACTGTACATACAAAATTATGGGAAATATATGTTGGGATTACTGTAAAGCTTTTCCCCCAGCTGAGATTAAATTTTGTAATTACAAAAGTAAACCCTGTACATGAGGTTTCATTTTCACATTTTTCTTGTCCCGGACTGTAATATTCCTTTACGATTTATGTGAGGGATTTTTTTTCTTCACGATTTTATCGTAAATAGGAAATAAGCGAAAATAAATCTCCCACAAAAACTTTCCACTTTACAGCAAGTTACAACAAAGAAGATATAATGAGTCCATTTTGTATGCTTTTGTTTTTATTTGAAATACTACTCCAACTATAACAGTATCTGTTAATGTTCATGTCTATGTCAAACTCACTTGATATTGTATCTTACTTGGATGCTTACCATGAATTCCAAGAGAATTTTGCAGTTGACAATTGTATAAATAAATCTGTTAAAGACTGGCAAAAAAAGTGACATATTTTTCCCAATGTAAACATCTTGAATCTTTATTTTAAATTTCCTTACTGACTGTCAATCAACTGAAGTCAGCATGGTATTAAAGGAATTCAATGTTCATGAAGAATAAATCTCATATTTTCCTGTGATTAATCTCCAATTCAATGTTCATGAAGAATAAATCTCATATTTTCCTGTGATTAATCTCCAAACATTTGCAGTGCACTCATATAGTTAGGTGTACTTCAGTGTTTTTCACTACAACTGACCTTCATTGAACTTTAAAATTTACCTGTATTTCATAATTTCTATGACATCACCAGCATCTTCTTTGGTAGCTAATTCTCTCAATTCTAATCTAGCTCTGGATTCTGTCAATCTAATAAGGGATTCTAGTTGTCTTGTTGTGATGGGTGTACTGTCTTGTGTTTGGTGCTGTTTTCTTAGCTCAAGATAGAACTCCTGTGAAATGAATATATCAATATCAATAAATAGAGTTAAAATTTTCAAAAGACTACTTTTTACATTGTTTCCTCATTTATTTCAGTAGCTAGATGAGTTGGTACATGCCATTGACTCTTCCGGCAGCCTTATCACTAAAAGTCAGTCAACCAAAACTGGATCTGTAAGTCATCATGATACACATATGTAACGAAGATCAGCTTCAGGGGTCAACTGTCATGAAATTTGTATAAGTCCAAGGTGCATACTTCCACTTAGTTATTATAAATGATAAAATAAAGGCTGTTTAAATACACGCACCGCTCCTGTTATTGGTCTTCCCAGTGCTTGTATCCTCCTGCTGATTAGTAAAATCCTATATCACAGCTTTGCAATGTAAAATGCGTTTTACAGGACTTAATAATTTTGACCCTGACTTACTACCGTCATATAAATTACCTTACCCAAAACTTATCACATCTTCTTCCAGTTGGCTTGTAAAACAAAGAACTGCTATTTTTTTAATCATGAAAACAACACAAATACAATTTGATAAATCGATTATCAGGTTTTCCATTACAATACAAATATTGTAAAATAACAGCCGTCAGTAACACATTTACTGACCATCTTGACAAAAACGATTTTAGCAGACCAGTATTACTTTATATAAATACCTGTAAGACCTTGGCAGCTTCAGGACTGATCTTTGGATGAACATACTTTCTGGCATATCCAATATACTGAAATCAAAAGATTCATACTATTAAACTTTTGAAGCATTGTATTCATTCACTTTTTGACTGAAAATGTAGGTTTAAGAATAGAGAAATAACAGCTACAAAATTCAGTTCAAACTCAGTAACACATATTTGACAAACTGAATGTCATAAATGCTTGTTATTACAAAATTACATAGTATATAGACTTAAGAATTTCATTACTGTCTTTTGGTGTGTATAGTACGCAGGTTTTTACCCTGGGAATGATTTCTGGAAAGAGGTTGTGTTTTATGTATAGCTACACTGTTCTTTAGACTTTTTTCAGGCCGAATTCCGACCAAGAAACCAGGTGGTCTGGAGGAAAATATTTTCGTAGCATAAATTTTAATGTTATTTGTTTTACATGTATATTTCTACCTTTTTGTATCTGATTTGTTATCACAGAGATATGTCTCGCCTTTTTGTAATTTTGATAATGCAAATGTTGAAATTAAAATAGCAATACTTTAACATGTAAGTTATGCAAATATTCAAAGTCGATGAACCATGACTGAAGGAATATGGCTAAGCAATCTCCATGGAATGAGATGTGCCAATGCTAATACAACTGCATACCAAATATCATTGACTTATTAGAAGTCGTTCCCTTTAAACAAACCTAAACACAAACATTAACTTGTAAACTATGTAAAAGTTTCAAAGTCAATGAACCATGATCAGGGGTGGGGCAATATAATCTCCATGGAAATGATACTTGCAAATGCCAATAAATTTGCATACCAAATATCATTGACTTAACATTAGCAGTTCATCTTAAACTGATCTAATCACAAACTAATACATGTAAACTAAGCAAAAGTTTCAAAGTAAATAGACCATGACTGAGGGGGCAGGGCCAAATATTCTCCATGGAAATGAGATGTGCTAATGCTTATACAACTGAACACCTATTAACATTGGCTTACCACTAATGGTTCCCCTTGAACTGACCTAATCACAAACTAATACATGTTAACTTAGCAAAATTTTCAAAGTCTATAGACCATGACTAAGGGGGTGGAGCCAAATAATCTCCATGGAAATGAGATATGCCAATGCTTATACAACTGCATACCAAATATCATTGACCTACCACTAGTGGTTCCCCATAAATTGACCTAATCACAAATAAATACATGTAAACTATGAAAAGTTTCAAAGTCAATAGACCTTGACTGAGGGGGCAGGGCCAAATAATCTCCATGGTAATGAGATGTGCCAATTCTAATACAACTGCATACCAAATATCATTGACCTACCACTAGTGGTTCACCATGAACTAGACCTAATCACAAACTAATACATTGTTGACGCTGCCACCGCCGTTTCCGCCAGAAACAGCATATCTATGTCTCGCTTTTGACTCCGTCAAGGCGAGACAATAAAAATCATTTAAATGCTTTAATAGTTGTTTTTTGCGTTTTCTTGTGTTCTCCGTTGTCACCTGGAAGTTGCATTTGATCATGTCCAAATTAGAGATGAAGGATTCTGTCAATGACCAATTATTGTAGATGTTTCTCGAGTTTACTTATTACTGTGTATATGTGTTCTAACAAGGAATACAGAAGGTAAATGTATGAAAATTGAATAAAATACGCCCGTTTGATGATAGCTACCGCCATTGTTTTTTTACTTTCGTAGTATCAGGTGATCACGTCATGTGACTTTCCTTTAACATTGTAAAGTTGAATAAAGCGATGATTTCAAACCCCTTTTTACTTTGTAATATTTTTTAAAAAACCTTCATATAAATCCTAATTGCAGACATGTCAATGCCATTTTAAACTGTACGAATTTGATTATGGAACAAAATTAATCTGTCAATTGATTTGTTTTGACAACGATTAGACTTCCTAATTAATATTCAATAAGTCAATAAGGGTGTGATAATCTGGATTAAACGATTCAATGAGTACCATCAAACAATAAATAAAATGAGCAGAGATTAATATTTATTTCAGCACTAATTTATCAACATAAATATTACGATTTATGTATTTATTGTGTAGTTAAAAATATTTGTAATGATTCTGTATTCCACTCAAGATTCACCGACTGCGATTTGCATTTAAACAACTTCCCGATTTAACACTTCCTGTTGTTCCCAATCAGACACATCTGTGGAAACAATAATAAATCAAACATCGTTAATGCTAAATTATTTATTCTGCAACAATATTTTCATTATCCTGTATTAAACCAGGACTGGAGTTCAATTTGGTACTGAAAAACATCACTTTTCAATGGACGTATTTTGCTGAGTTTCAAGTTGGGATTTTTCCAGAAAGTCCTTGCGTGTTAAGCACAAGAAGAAACTTTTTTTCTCAAGTTTCAAGGGTGAAAAAGGGGGTGCATACTATGCAAGAGTGCGTTTTATACACACCAAAAGACGGTAGTAAAAAATCATTGATTCCATTTATTTAAGGCCTTACAATTAGCTTACCTTTCTAAGTAGTTGGTGAGGTATGGGATCAAATGGTTCATGTCTTGGTGTCTTTAACCTATCACTGAGAGGTTTGTGCTTACCTTTCTAAGTAGTTGGTGAGGTATGGGATCAAATGGTTCATGTCTTGGTGTCTTTAACCTATCACTGAGAGGTTTGTGCTTACCTTTCTAAGTAGTTGGTGAGGTATGGGATCAAATGGTTCATGTCTTGGTGTCTTTAACCTATCACTGAGAGGTTTGTGCTTACCTTTCTAAGTAGTTGGTGAGGTATGGGATCAAATGGTTCACGTCTTGGTGTCTTTAACCTATCACTGAGAGGTTTGTGCTTACCTTTCTATGTAGTTGGTGAGGTATGGGATCAAATGGTTCATGTCTTGGTGTCTTTAACCTATCACTGAGAGGTTTGTGCTTACCTTTCTAAGTAGCTGGAGAGGTATGGGATCAAATGGTTCATGTCTTGGTGTCTTTAACCTATCACTGAGAGGTTTGTGCTTACCTTTCTAAGTAGTTGGTGAGGTATGGGATCAAATGGTTCACGTCTTGGTGTCTTTAACCTATCACTGAGAGGTTTGTGCTTACCTTTCTATGTAGTTGGTGAGGTATGGGATCAAATGGTTCACGTCTTGGTGTCTTTAACCTATCACTGAGAGGTTTGTGCTTACCTTTCTAAGTAGTTGGTGAGGTATGGGATCAAATGGTTCATGTCTTGGTGTCTTTAACCTATCACTGAGAGGTTTGTGCTTACCTTTCTAAGTAGTTGGTGAGGTATGGGATCAAATGGTTCATGTCTTGGTGTCTTTAACCTATCACTGAGAGGTTTGTGCTTACCTTTCTAAGTAGTTGGTGAGGTATGGGATCAAATGGTTCATGTCTTGGTGTCTTTAACCTATCACTGAGAGGTTTGTGCTTACCTTTCTAAGTAGTTGGTGAGGTATGGGATCAAATGGTTCATGTCTTGGTGTCTTTAACCTATCACTGAGAGGTTTGTCTGATTCTATTAACAATATAGACTCGTTTATACTGTCATCCTACAAAATACACATCATTAGACTACGTTAGAATAGAAAGATATTAGTGTACCTTGTGTCTTCTGCATAGCAATGGCTTATTAGAAAGGACACACTCGTAATCAAAGAAATTACTAGGCCAGGTATGTATTCAGTTTAAACAAGTGTACTTAAGTTTCATAATTGATTTATAATCTTCTATTGCAGCAGATACTTTCCTCTGCTGATTTTCTTGATATTGGTATGGACTGATTGATTGATTGGTGTTTGCTCAACGCTGCCTCAGCACAAAAAGGCTACATTGTATATCACTGTGATATTGGTATTGGATAAACATAAATGGCCATTGTAAAAAATTTGAACTCTGAACATTTTAATCATTATGCTCAAGATTTGATAATCCTCCAATTATGTTGGGTAAATAACCTTATTACTGGTACACCCCAAGAGATGAATTTTAACAATCTTAGTCAACTTAAGGGAATCTACTTGCTTAGACACATCATCATGACTAATAGTCTCTTAGTTTACCCTTTAATGCTGTTTAAGCTTATGGAGATGCTGCTATTATTAGTGTACTAGTTTTCCTTACTCAAGGATTTTGCATATTTTACTGTACTTATCCAAGAGATCACTTTATCAAATTGGTTTTTTTATTCATTTCTTCCAAATGATCAACTTGTGAATTTTATTAGCCCATTGATAAAGATAAACTAATGTTAGCATAAAGCAGGTGGAATGTAAGGAAAATTGGTATTGTGAAATGGCAAAGCCTGTCATATATGCACATACGGTTGAAAAAAGACGTCTTTCGGCTATTTTTGTCAGAGTTGCTGCCTTACTGATGTATACTCCACATCTCCTTTTATTCACATTATAATAGAATACTGATGATTTGTTAATCACCTATGTCATACTTACTTTCTGTCTTCTTACAGTTACACTCAAAGCTCTGAAAAAAGGAAATACAATTCACTCATCCATGAAATACATTTAAACCACCTGTCATAGAGTGTTAGGATGGTTGGTAAATGTTTTTAACGCGAAAGTCTAGTAGCAATTGACTTCTTATACAATTAAATTGTTTCTTATATTTTTTTGGTTGAAGAAGAACGTCCAGAAGGTATATTTTGGTGCTTCTATGGCCCTGTAAATTCAACAAAAATAAAAGTTTGTATGATACTTTTTTTATATAATTTTAAATGAAAAAAAAAAACCAGACCCTTAAGAAAATGTACACTAAGCTTTATCTTGATGTCATGTGACATCATTAAATTAGGATAATATGTAAAGCATTAGTGAACAAGAGGCTCTCAAGAGCCTGAATCGCTCACCTGTATTTCAGAGGAGAAGATTTTTAAATGTTAGCAAACTTAATGAACAAATTGTGTAAAATTGTCTTTAAAGGGCAATAACTCCTTAAGGGGTCAATTGACAATTTTGGTCATATGAACTTTTTTGTAGATCTTACTTTGCTGAACATTATTGCTGCTTACAGTTTATATATATCTATAATAATATTCAAAATAATAACAAAAAACTGCAAAAATTTTGTTAAAACTACCAATTCGGTGGCAGCAACCCAACAATGGGTTGTTCGGTTTGTCTGAAAATTTCAGAGCTGATAGATCTTGACCAATTGAACAATTTTATCCTCTGTCAGATTTGCTCTAAAAGCTTTAGTTTTTGAGATATAAGCCAAAAACTGCATTTGACACCTATGTTCTATTTTTAGCCATGGCGGCCATGTTTGTCGATGGATCAAAACTTCAGATACAATTTACAAACTAGATACCCTAAGGAACATTTAGTTAAAGTTTGAAGGTATTTGGCCCAGTAGTTTCAGAGAAGATTTTTTAAATAGTTTACCACGACAGACGATGACGACGATGGACGCCAAGTGATGGCATAAGCTCACATGGGGCCCTTTGGGCCCCGGTGAGCTAAAAATATACTATACTCAGGATGATCCCATCCAGACATATTTTTTTTCTGAGCAGATCTGTCATTGCTGTTCCTAAATGTTAAATACTTAGCAAAGAAACAAAAAATGAATTTTCTAAAGTCTCTGTAATAGCCTGCCCTAGTAGTAATAAAATTGAGAATGGAAATGGGGAATGTGTCAAAGAGACAACAACCCGACCATAGAACAGACAACAGCAGAAGGTCACCAACAGGTCTTCAATGCAGCGAGAAATTCCCGCACCCGGAGGCATCCTTCAGCTGGCCCCTAAACAAATATATATATACTAGTTCAGTGATAATGAACGCCATACTAAACTCCAAATTGTACACAAGAAACTAAAATTAAAAATAATACAAGACTACCACAGGCTAGAGGCTCCTGACTTGGGACAGGCGCAAAAATGCGGCGGGGTTAAACATGTTTATGAGATCTCAACCCTCCCCCTATACCTCTAGCCAATGTAGAAAAGTAAACGCATAACAATACGCACATTAAAATTCAGTTCAAGAGAAGTCCGAGTCTGATGTCAGAAGATGTAACCAAAGAAAATAAACAAAATGACAATGATACATAAATAACAACAGACTACTAGCAGTTAACTGACATGCCAGCTCCAGACTTCAATTTAACTGATTGAAAGATTATGTCTTCATCATATGAATATCAGGCACAATCCTTCCCGTTAGGGGTTTAGTATCATACCATCATAACATATATGAGAATAACATAACCCGTGTCATGCCAACAACTGGTTTTTAAACAAATGTGTTTAGTTCCGATGCAAAGACCCTATAAGTGAATCAATATTAACGCCAAAATATGCAATCTTTAATGACCTGACAACAGTATCGTAACTATATCCCTTCTTAATAAGTCTATTTAAAGGTTTTGTTAGCTTCAGAGGTGAATACTGACATTTTTGTGCTTTATAAAGAATATTTCCCATAACCATTCAAACTCTATGCATACATACTACCATTGTGGCAGTGTTAATGCAATGAAGATAAGACACCAAAAGGTGTAGATAGTTCACACTGACCCTATAGGTCAGATAAGTTGATAATTTTTACTGACCTACTTTGTCCGGCATGTAAAGCCATCACATGGTCTGATAACATACTGTCCATTTCCTGTTAGATATCATATTCATAATTATTACAAAACACAATACCCTTTTGCCTTCATTTAATTTTTTATTTTGCTAATTTTAGTTTGTACAAATATCAAAATGGAGGAATGTTCAAGAGGCAACACCTCAAATTCATGATATTCTTTTAACTAATTAAATCCATCTACAGATAATTAAATTTGATGCATTTGTTACAAAATTCTGAATGAAAAAAGGTTGTCATGCATTATCTCCCCTTAGTGGAGCTGGAAAAAGGGAGATCTTTCACTGTGTAGCTACAAAAGGTTGGCAGATATGGCCTAAACTAATGTGTAATTCAAATATATTATTTGTATTCAAATAAGTCTAGATCTTATACACTTTTGAAAAATCAAAACATCTGAAAATAAACATTGTTAAAATTGAAAATGAAAATATCTGGCTTCTGTATTTTCAACATTTTTCTTGTTTTTTTTTTGGGGGGGGGGGGGGGGGGGGGGGCTGACGTGCCAATAAAATCTCTTGTGTTGCCTTTGTTCTTTTAACAATTAACTGTAAATATAGCAAATGATCGTACAGTTTGTTTATCCTGATGATAACTTTATTTTACTTTTGGAGATATAAATCCATGCAATAATTCCCCATCAATATATCAGTTTTTATTTACAATTTATAATTAGTTATAATCTAATCCTGTTCTCTTTCCTCGTTCATTGTCAATCACTGGATTACTTTATGATCATAGGTACTACTACTTTAGTTTACCTCATGTATGAGTGAAGTTCATATGGATTATTTTTTTATTTTCTGTGTAATTTTTGAAGGATATTTGTTTCTTTTTTTCTTTTTCTGTACCCAGTTTTGATTATGTTTCTTTGATTTGTTTTATTTAATAATTTTTGTTGCCATGCTGCTCCTTCGCTCTATTAAATTTGCTTTCCCCCTATTCGTGTAAATAATATATTTTTCAAAAGACACATTTTTTTTTTTTGGCAAATACATATCAATATGCATTATTCCTTAAAAAATAGTTCAGACCTCATCTGGTTTATCCAACAGAATAAAGACCAGGTCAAATCTGGATAACAAGGCACTCCCCATTCTACAAAAATAAAAAACAACTTTACATCAAAGTTTTATATAAGAAACACAAAAGCTTCCTATTTCAGACTGATGAAACTTTATTCACTATAACACATGACGAAATTTATCACCATAAATTGGAACTGTTTACAGTTTTACACATCTTAATATACTTAAAATGTTGTGCTTTACTGAGCTTCAGTTCTTCTGTACACCAATTAAAGAGTTCCGACAGACTCTACTACAACTGACCTCAATTATATAGCAACTTATAGAGAGTATTGATACAAAAAAAAAAGCAACAATAATTTTGAATGTAAATTATAAATTTATACATGTTATACATAAAAACAAATTTTTGTAAATTCTCTGATACTGCTTTAGTCTTGTTAAAAAGACCACCTACTTTAAATTCTCGGACACTGTTTTAGCCTTGTTATAATGGCCACCAACTGGATTGGCTGCTGCTATTATAGATGTCCTGGCTGGTAAACTGGAAAAAAAATAATCATGGATAGTATTATCTAGATTCTCATTTGTGATGGGATTCTTGTATCTAGGCAAAAATACCTAGTTTATTATCGACAAATTCAGTAGAGAAGAAGCAATATGATATCATAAATGTTTTCATCAACCTACCTTGATCAAACTCACTGAACAAAAGAATCTAGGTCACACTATTTTTAAATTACACTTCAATGTTAAATCTACCTCACACTAAGATACCTTAACCCTGAGGAGGATAATAAGGCAAATTTAACTGATAACTCTAGTTGGAAGAACACTGTTACTGGGAAGCAATAATTATCAAATGATAAATCTACAATATCGCCATTTAAAATCATTTCAATATTTAGAGGTATAGAGAGAGGGTTGAGATCTCACAAAACATGTTTAACCCCGCCACATTTTTGCACCTGTCCCAAGTCAGGAGCCTCTGGCCTTTGTTAGTCTTGTATGTTTTTTAATTTTAGTTCATTTATATGTTTTGGAGTTTAGTGTGACGTCTATTTTCATTGAACTAGTCCACATTTTTGTTTAGGGGCCAGCTGAAGCCCGCCTCCGGGTGCGGGATTTTCTGTGTGTGTTGAAGACCCATTGGTGGCCTTTGGCTGTTTTCTGCTCTTTGGTCGGGTTGTTGTCTCTTTGACACATTCCTCATTTCCATTCTCAATTTTATTATGATGCACAAAGTAGGATTCATAACAAAATCATAATGTTATGTAATCTTTATTAGTCAGTTTTGTAATGTCCACTTTAAGCCATCAAGATATAGAGAGTTGACTCATTGATATATTATGGTCTTCATCTGAAGCCTAACAATTCGTTGAGTCCATTAAATAATAACTTGGTTAACAATATCCTGCTTGGTCTCTTTGACTATCCAGTCAACAAGGTCGTTTGCATTATGAACAGTTCAATAACTGTAACATGCCCTCAATTTCCACTAACCTGTCAGCAGAACTGTGCGAGTTCAAGAAAAGTGGTGGTCCGAAGGTTTTGACCACCTAAAATTGCAAAGGACTGACACAATTTTGGAAATTTGTAATAGATATAATAGTGAGGACCAGCAGATTTTCTCTAAGGACCACCAGGGAAAAAAAGATTTAGAGAACACGGTCTTTTACTTTTGAAGAAAAAAAAAAAAGAAAAAGCCTTTTTAAAAATACCATTATATATAAGTGTTACATCAGTAATGATATGACAAGAAGAATTCTCTATTTTCTTAAAATCAACAGACCAACAGAAAACACTTGTTTGACCATTATTTGAACTAGTAACAGACAAGCATGTATGTATTGTTGAGTATTAAAATGCTGGGTTTTTTTTAATGAAAAAGCTACAATTTTTCAACACTTAAAATATGACTGTTTTATTTATTCTTGTGTAGAAGTTCCAATGTGGAAAACATTTTACTATGTAAGTTTGAAGGATAATTGAGAAACTGAAAAAGTTCAGTGGCCAAAATGTCTAGAAAATGGTTTAATTACTTCAATAATGTTCTAATCATAATAAAACTATACTCAGCATTATTTAAAATTCTCAATTACCTACATACAATCCCTGCTTTTGCTATACTTATGCTTTGCTGTTCCTAAAACAAAGAAAAAAGTTCATTATTATCATATTAAATTTATTCTAGACCCCCCTTCCCTCACTTTTTAAATGACAAATATATTTGAATAATAAAATTTTTATCAGACAAAAATAAAAGAAGAATGTGTCCATGGGACACAGATGCCGCCACATATATGACAAATTAAGCAATTCTTCCATTTAATAAACTGTTAACACAGAGATATGTCTAGGATTTTTGTTATTTTGATAGTAAAATGCAAATGTTGATATTAAATTAGCAAAACTTTAACATGTAAGTTATGCAAAATATTCAAAGTCAATGAACCATGACTGAAGGTACAGGTGTGCCAATGCTAATACAACTACATACCAAATATCATTGACCTACCACTATTACTTCTATAAACTGACCTAATCACAAACTAATACATGTTAACTTAGCAAAAGTTTCAAAGTCAATAGACCATGACTGAGGGCGCAGGGCCAGATAACCTCCATGGAAATGAGATGTGCCAATGCTAATACAACTGCATATCAAATATCATTGACATACCACTAGTGGTTCCCCATAAACTGAACTAATCACAAACAAATACATGTAAACTAAGCAAAAGTTTCAAAGTCAATAGACAATGACTGAGGGGGCAGGGCCAAATAATCTCCATGAAAATGAGAAGTGTCACTGCTAATGCAACTGCATACCAAATATCATTGACCTACCCCATAAACTGACCTAATCACAAACTTACACATGTAAACTAAAGTTTCAAAGTCAATAGACCATGACTGAGGGGGTGGGGCCAAATAATTTCCATTGAGATGTGCCAATGCTAATACAACTGCATACCAAATATCACTGACCTACCACTAGTGGTTCCCCATAAACTGACCTAATCACAAACTAATACATTGTTGACACTGCTGCTTTCGGAAACAGCATACCTATGTCTCGCTTTTTGACTCTGTCAAGGTAAGAACCCTTAAGTGGCCCCAACCAAATTCAATTTTGATCTGATTGTTAGGTGGCAATAAGCATTGTGTGTAACTTTCATAACATTTGGTTGAGTGTCAAGTTAGATTGCGGAAACAGCAGAATCAACATTTTTTTAATTTACAAAGGAACATAACTTGAGAGCACTCAAAGTAACACCACCCAAGTTCTAGCTTGATCTGTGTTTGGTGGTAATAAGCATTATGAATAAGTTTCATATTATTTGGTTGAAGCAAAGTAAAGTTAGACAGCGGAAACGGCAAATTCAATAATTTTTCCATTTATAAAGGGACATAACTCAAGAACAGTGAATGTGAAGCTACCCAAATTTGAACATGATCTGTGTTTAATGGTAATAAACAATGTGGATAAGTTTCATAATATTTGGTTGAGGTAAAGTTAAGTTAGAGAACGGAAACCAATTTTGGGACCTACATACTGACGGACAAGGTAAACCTTAATGCCCCCTTTGTCTTCTAAGGGGGCATAAAAATTAGAAAAATTGTAACTTTCCATGATTAAACTGAATGTGCTAAACTATCATAGATAGTTTAGGTCATAAAACACCCATGCACTACTTACCATGGCTTCTAGTAAAGCTTGATGTTGATTTCCCATCTTATCAAACTCATCTATACAACAACAACCAAGATCAGCCAAAACCAGAGCTCCTGCTTCCAATGCAAAATCTCCAGAGCCTCCATCTCTTGATAGGGTCACCTAAAGTATAAAATATATCTATACAACTAATACTGTAGGTCCTGCTGCTTCTTAAACAAAATTGCTTGTGCCTCCATCTCTTGATAGGGTTACCTAAAATTCAAAGAAATCTTTTTCAACTAATAGGTCCTGTTTCTAATGCAAAATATCTTGTGTTTCCATTTTTTGAAAAGGTCACATTAATACAAAGAACATACTCTCATTTTGTATAAAGAATGTCTTCATATAAAACATACATACTTTTCCTGTTCAAAATTCCAAAGTTCCAGGACCTTGACTGAGAGATTTATAGGTCTATTAATCTACTTTGAACTGACATGCTAGTGTTTTGTTTTATGCTGTATATATACTTTCTGTGTCATTTGGTCTCTTGTGGAGAGTTGTCTCATTGGCTATCATACCACATCTTCTTTTTATATTTACTGATATACCAGAGGTTGTGGTTGTATTACCACAGACATACACACTCCTTGGACCTATACTGGCTGTGGACTGTAACATCTGTATACATGTACATACTTACTGTTAGACCAGAGGTTGTGGTTGTATTACCACAGACATACACACTCCTTGGACCTATACTGGCTGTGGACTGTAACATCTGTATACATGTACATACTTACTGTTAGACCAGAGGTTGTGGTTGTATTACCACAGACATACACACTCCTTGGACCTATACTGGCTGTGGACTGTAACATCTGTATACATGTACATACTTACTGTTAGACCAGAGGTTGTGGTTGTATTACCACAGACATACACACTCCTTGGACCTATACTGGCTGTGGACTGTAACATCTGTAAAATTAATCAAAGCCTTAAAGGCTGTAAAAGCAATTGCTGCCATGTTAATGTTTTGGGGACTTTTATTTTTCATCCACATATATACAAGAATTAAACCTGACAGGAGTGTTGTCTAGTGAGAAGTAAGAAGGTTTTAACTTTATATCAATAAAAGACTTTAGCAGAAAGTCATTTGTTTTATATTTCACAAGGAGACAACACGTTTACCAGGCTAAAGTTGGGGTCAAATTTACATGTGCTGAAACATATAACTCAAAAAGAAATTATCCCCTGGTAGTGTTTGTAACTGGGCAATAATTTCCTTTATTGATTTAATTTTAACAATTATCATAATTAATTTAAATTTAACCATTCAATTAAAACATTTCAACTTTCCAGACGCAAATGTTGAAAAACGGGAAAGAAATAAAATATCTTTAATACAAGACATAAACATGTAAAAATTAAATATATATTTCAGCTTACTAAAAATATTTTCATAATGTTACTTTGTCTTCATTTCTTACAACTAAGTCCCAAACATTATTGCTCAGTTGATATGTGTCATCCTCATGCTGTATGAGATAACTATAATTCTCAAGAATCCCGAAAAGGGGGGTCATCACAGACAAACATGACATTAAATCGTCATTATACGAACAAAAACAAACAGCTCTTCGTTGTTTTGATATTTATCAATTTTCAGGAAACATTGCGAAAAATTATCTTAATATTTCGAAAACATGTGAAATAAAATTGCAAACACGGTGGACCGTCGAGTGTCAACACACGTAGTAGACTCGTCCACTGGAAAGACGAGGATAATGGTTTCATCATTTGTCATGCATACCTAGTTTTGATTATGATATCCAACAGAATGTACTTTTTTTTTCAATCTATGAATCTATGAAACTAGAAAATTCCAAATTGTAAATATCTCTTCATCTGGACTTGGCATCTACCACGTTTTGACGGGTCCATTTCATTAGTAAGGTGATCGATAAATCTTATGGAGTTATGACAATCAAAGCGCGAAAGCGCTGTAAAGGCAGTTAATTACAGGTTGTGTGTATTTTTAGTCCAGTTATATCATTACCTTGCATAGTACAGTGTACTTATCAGAGGTGGCTTTCAGTATTTAAGATTTAGAGTTCTCTAATGATATTGAACAAGTTTTATGAATGTCATATTCTGAGCACTATATGAAGGCGTTTGTTCTCACTTGTTTATGAACTTGTGCATTATATCCAGTTTGTACCTTTTTTATCTATGTTTATAGTCAAATTAGTTATCAAAGGTACCAGGATTATAATTTAATACGCCAGATTCATGTTTCGTCTACATAAGACTCATCAGTGACGCTCAGATCAAAATAGTTATAAAGCCAAACAAGTACAAAGTTGAAGAGCATTGAGGACCCGAAATTCCAAAAAATTGTGCCAAATACGGCTAAGGTAATCTATTCCTTGGATAAGAAAATCCTTAGTTTTTCGAAAAATTCAAAGTTTTGTAACCGGAAGTTTATAAAAATGACCATATAATTGATATTCAAATACTGTTTAAAATAGTTAGGCATTTTCTTTTTAGAAATAAGTAAATGTTATCAACTGTATTTTATTCAACTCTGCAAATGTTGTTTGTTACTGGTAAGTATGGATGATAGTTGTTTCATTGGCAATCATAACACATCTCCTTATTTATATAATGATCTATATTCAACGACCTCAGGTACAAAAAAAATGTATGTAACTAAACTGTGATGGAAAACCTTTGACTTCTTTCTTTTATATAAACTTTTGATTTGGTACCATAGAACTATGTAGAATAAATGTACATTGCAACATGTCAACTCTTTCAATGACAATACTTTTTTAGAAACTATAACTCCAAGCAAAATTATATTTCCAAGTTTAAAGTAATTTATGAATGAAAAAGGAGTTCTTAATTAAGAAATAAACTGATTCGCTGAGCGCAGCTGGATACACCGCAGAGGTCCAACCCTGAACAGTTGGGGCAAAAATGGACACAATATTCAAGCTTGATACAGGTCTGTATTTGGATTGTAATTAAATATTTTACATATTATAGTTTCTGAATAAATGTAGTCAAAGAACTTGAAATCGGTTATATGAATTGAATTTATATTCAATTAAAGATTTCTTGCTGTTGTGCAATAAACTGTGCTGTTGCGCAATACTTAATAAATCTGTTGCCAGACTATAAAGAATAAAGTTCAATTTCTTCTCAATGTCATATTTGAAATTTATGAAAATCTATAGGGAGATTACATCAATAGCTATAAATAATTCACCCAAGTTTCATGCGAACTGCTTAAAGCATTTTTGAGTTGTTGTCGAACAACAGTGCACACGCTGAAATGTCTCGCCTTCTTTACTAATCACTGATATTATGTTGATAGTCCTTAATATAAAGCTTTATTACAACTGTCACATAAACTTAACATTAACCAAGAAAACTAAACATTGACCAATGAACCATGAAAATGAGGTCAAGGTCAGATGAACCATGCCAGGCAGGCATGTACAGCTAACAATTCTTCCATACAACAAATATAGTTGACCTATTGCTTATAGTTTAAGAAAAACAGACCAAAACACAACTAGATACGCCCGCAGAGGTCCAACCCTGAACAGTTGGGGCAAAAATGGACACAATATTCAAGCTTGATTCAGGTCTGAATTTGGATTGTAATTAAATATTTGACATATTATAGGTTTCTGAATAAATGTAGTCAAAGATCTTGAAATTGGTTATATGAATTGAATATGCAATTAAAGATTTCTTGCTGTTGTGCAATACTTAGTAAACCTGTTGTCAGACTATAAACAAATAAAGTTCAATTAATTCTCAATGTCATATTAGAAATTTATGAAAATAAAAAGGGAGCTTACAACAATAGATATAAACAATTCACCAAAGTTTCATGAGAATTGGTGACAGCATATTTGAGTTATTGTTCGAAAACTGGAAAATCACCCCTTTTTTTTAATGAATAAAACCCCATAACTCAGAAATGTAAAATGTAAAATTTATAAAATTCTAAAGGGAGCTTACATCAATACATACAAACAATTCACCAAATTTTCATAAGAATTGCTGTAAGCATTTTAGAGTTTTTGTCCGAAAACTGGAAAATCCCCCCTTTTTTTATGAATAAAACCCTGTAACTCGGAAACGTAAAATCTAAAATTTATAAAAATCTAAAGGGAGCTCATGTCAATAGATATAAACAATTCACCACAATTTCTTGCAAGTTGGTGAAAGCATTCTTGACTTATTGTCCGAAAACTGGAAAATCCCCCTTTTTTTAATGAATAAAACCCCATAACTCGAAAACGTAAAATCTAAATTTTATAAAAAATGAAAGGGAGCTCACGTCAATAGATATAAACAATTCACCAAAGTTTTATGCAAATTGGTAAAAGCATTTTTTAGTTAATGTCCGACATGTTGACGACGGACGGACAACGGTATACCATAATACGTCCCGTAAACGGGCGTATAAAAACTTAACAGAGCAATGAACTGTGAAAATGAGGTCCAGGTCAAATAAAACCTGCGTGACTGACATAAAGATCATAAAATATTTCCATACACCAAATATAGTTGACCTATTGCATATAGTATTAGAAAAAAAGACCAAAACTCAAAATCTTAACTTTGACCACTGAACCATGAAAATGAGGTCACGGTCAAATGACACCTGCCAGCTAGACATGTACATCTTACAATCATTCCATACACCAAATATAGTAGACCTATTGCATACAGTATAAGAAAAACAGACCAAAACACAAAAACTTAACTATAACTACTGAACCATGAAAATGAGGTCAAGGTCAGATGACACCTGCCAGTTGGACATGTACACTTTACAGTCCTTCCATACACCGAATATACTTGACCTATTGCTTATAGTATCTGAGATATGGACTTGACCACCAAAACTTAACCTTGTTCACTGATCCATGAAATGAGGTCGAGGTCAAGTGAAAACTGTCTGACGGGCATGAGGACCTTGCAAGGTCGCACATACCAAACATAGTTATCCTACTACTTATAATAAGAGAGAATTTAACATTACAAAAAATGTTAACTTTTTTTTCAAGTAGTCACTGAACTATGAAAATGAGGTCAAGGACATTGGACATGTGGCTGACGGAAACTTCGTAACATGAGGCATCCATATACAAAGTATGAAGCATCCAGGTCTTCCACCTTCTAAAATATAAAGCTTTTAAGAAGTAAGCTAACACCGCCGCCGCCACATCACTATCCCTATGTCGAGCTTTCTGCGACAAAAACTGGAAAATCCCAATAAAACACCATAACTCAGAAATGTAAAATTTAAAATTTATAAAATTCTAAAGGGAGCTTACGGATTGATAATTTAGTCTTAGATGCAAGATTTTTATATCAGTTGTTAGTGGCTTTGAACTAGCTGTCAGTAACTGCAAGTACTCTCAGATCTGTACTTTCTGTCTTTTTCTTGTTTGGATGTACAACTACCCGACCACATCCACTTGTATTTGTATTTATCCATCTGATGAGTTAAGCCTCTTTCAAGTGATTTTTATAGTTCGTTCTTATATTGTACTGTTACACCACTGTCCCAGGTTAGGGGGAATGTTGGGATCCCGCTAACATGTTTAACCCCGACACATTCTGTATGTACATGTATGTGCCTGTCCCAAGTCAGGAGCCTGTAATTCAGTGGTTGTCGTTTGTTTATGTGTTGCATATTTGTTATATTCGTTCATTTTTTGTACATAAATTAGGCCGTTAGTTTTCTTGTTTGAATTGTTTTACATTGTCATTTCGGGCCTTTTATAGCTGACTATGCGGTATGGGCTTTGCTCATTGTTGAAGGCCATACTGTGACCTATAGCTGTTAATTTCTGTGTCATTTGGTCTCTTGTGAGAGTTATCTCATTGGCAATCATACAACATCTTCTTTTTTATATTTACATCAACAGATATAAACAATTCACCAAAGTCAAGGTGAGACAACAAAACTTAGTGGTAAGATCTCTGAAATGTTTTACACGGTACAAGTTTTTCTCATTGTTGGAGATTGTACGGTGACAGTAACACCTGTAACTGCTTAAACCCATTTCTTATGCACTTTAGTTCGATAAACTCACTGAATATCATACCACATCTCCTTATTTTTATATGCATTACAATTTACATGTGCATGTAATTATAAATACATGTATATATATATCAGAACAAAATTCATTGCGTCACTTTTATTTCTGCATCCTTTGGCACAATACAAGTTTTAAAATTACACAACATAAAACAACTAAATGTTATTTCAGATGAAAGTTTTGTTTCAGTTCCATTCATAGGATTTGTTAGAATTTTGTATGTTTTGCCAAGTCCAATAATTCGCTCTATGTGCACATGTTAATTGGAGACTTTTCTATCCCGTATAAGAGTTTTGGAACTAATTCTGTTTCTTTTTTTGAAAAAAGTTAGCAAACAAATCTTGCACATTTAAACCTTTGTCTGCCATCACACTGTCACCTTGATCACATAACTGAACTACATTTTGTATTCTACATCTTTCAACTATTTCATAGTCACTGGTAGAACCAACATATGCAGTAGAGACATAGTTGACTAAACCACCAGGCGTCGAACATACAAGTATTTTCAGTGTTTCTGTTTTTATATGATGAAAAGGTTGCCTGAGCTCTAAGAGCTTTAGTTTTATCACGGGATATTCTGTGCTGTCAATAATAATCCAAGTCGTAGGAAACTTTAATTTGAAGTTGGATGGCGAAAAATGCCTGACTTAACCACTAGATGGCCAAGTGTTAGCCTCACACCACTGTTTAGGCATAAAAACAATCCATGTATATACACAATATTCTTAACACTAGATTCAATCTAGAATCTAGAAAGTTCAAAGTTGGTTGTATAATGCCTCAATTTCATCAAAGTCATAAAAAAACTGATTTTCAACTGACACCCTATCAATTTGAAAATATATGTATCTCGAACAATGTGCTGTTGGACCAAGTGTGGTCAAAACAAATAAAAATTTAGTATACAACTCTAAACTGGTATAAAAATGCATGGCTGTGTCACGTGTCTTCATTTCAAAATTCTCTGCTGAAAACATAGACATTGATGGTGTTTGCGTAATTCCATCTTTGAAGCTCAACATTAGCTCAGCAGTTGGTGGTGGACAGTCATAAATCCTTTCTGCAGTATGAATGACTTCTTCAGGAAAACCAACTTTACAATCAAAACTTTCCTCTAGATTTCTACTACAATATTCATCAAGTTTAGTTCTTTTGTTTTCACAGGAAGCTGCCCTGATTTTTCTTTTTGCGGACGATTCAGTCTCTTGCTTGGTCCAGGAAAATAGGCTGGGAATGGCAGTAGACTTAGGTCTCTGTATGGTGGGTTTGCGCCCTGAAAAAGGTTATAAAACATTAGTTTTTTGATAATTAAATGAACTTCCATTAGCAATGTATACTTTGTATTACCTGGCGAAATATTAACTAGATTTATTCATTACAATCTGGATAAAACTATGTTTGCCTGATTCAATGTATGTTATGTAAATCCAAAGGACAAACAATGAGAGACTTATGCAACAAACGTACATTGTTTGTACCTAAATAACTATAATATTGATGAGAGCATGTCATTGTTTTGTTCCTGTTAACATTGTCATTGATATTTTTCAAGAAAGTCTATGAGGCATAGCTTATGCATTCCTGTCATTACTACATTAGCATAATTAGTGCTAAAATAATTCTCAGTATGATATACCTCTTGTAAGAAATCATTATAACTGTAGCAATCACCAAAAAATCTCAAACAGATCACATTGAATTGTAATCCAAAAAATTATGACGTCTTGAATTAACCACCCCCTTTTATTCTAAAACGATAATTGCGGTTGTAAACAGGCTTTGGTTTATTCGCATGGCGATTACATATATAACTATATATTTCAAAAAGAAAATAGAGTTTTACCATGAATAGTTTCCTGCACGTAGTCTTTTTCAGTAAAATGTGCCTTGCAAACAACAGCTGATTGAGATGGACTCCACGATGAAATCGTGTTCTCGTCCAATCTGCGTTTGGGCCATGGCGTTGATCCAACTTTTCCTTCTTTTTAAGTCATTTGGAAATGCATGTCCTTCTCTTAAATGACATCCAGGTACACAACAACAAGTACTTGGCATCGTTAATTTAAAATGTAACTGAAATAGTTGCACAGTGCAGAAACCGGAAGTTGAGGAACAGGATCGGCTACCACGGCGCCACCTATTCAGGAACGATAATTTGCTACTTTTTATAACTGCGAAATAACAATAACGTTAGACGGGTTCACGTGCATAAACAGAAATGCGCTTTAAATTGTATAATATAATTAATGTTCAGTCGACTCTTAATTATTATATCAACGACTGAAATGATTTATAAACATCTAGATTGCAGATAACACTCGAAATTAACCCGAGCTCTTTCCACACGGAATTCAAATAATTCTAGTTTGTCAATCGGTTGACTGCTTATAATGCAAAATACAAATATATCAAAAGTTTTTAAAACTAACAAAACACAATGATCGTTTCTCTATTTCCCAATGTAAATGAAATGAAACAAAAAACATTTTATATCACAATAAGAAGAGGAGAGAATTCAACATTTCCGGATCTACTTGGAGCCTAATGACCCCCCACGTAGATAAGTTGGATATCGCGGAAGGAAGGATTAACCCGGCAACTAGAAAGGCATTAAAGCACTGCCTTTAAAAAAGGAAATCGAACTTATTGTTATGTGTTTTTAATAAGGGTTTCGTTCTGCTAAATTATTTGCGCAAACAAATCAACAAAATAGGTCAGTTAAGTTTGTCTATTTTTAGATTACAGGTAATCATTTGACACTACGTATAACCTGTGTAGTGATTTTGATTTTACGATAAATTTATGAATGAACAAGAGCATTTGGCCTCTTTCTTAGAGAAACACCAATTAAACATATAAAACTGTATTTAATAAGAGATAATTCAGTCAAATTTTCAATACTAAATCAACAACTGAAATGATTCTATATTTTGTTGAAACATCGTACGAAAAGAGAACGGAATCGCAGGTATAAAAATGCACTTTTTTCCACTCGGACTTCTATGTTTTTTGTTAGTCAAACGGTTGTCCCCCTAAATACAAAAATACATCTACAAGAACATATGCTGAAACCTCTTAAATCCACTAACGTTTTTCAAAAGTTTCAAGCTATGTATTGCATTAGAAAACATACATAGTTGTTTAAGAATGACAGACCAGGAGCCTGTTTAACAAAATACTATGGCTTGATCTGGGCGGAGTCTCTGATTTGCGTCACAAAGATGGCCATACGCGATGGCATTAAAGCAATTGCTTTAAAAACAAGGAAATTGTAATGAAAGTACAGATCTGATTATTTCATTTCCAATAAAGCTTGTGTCATAGCACTATGCAGAACTTGTATTCAGATTCATAAAATTTGAGAATAAATAATCAATGTGAAAACCTAGTATCTTTTTTGTCAAATTCAATTTCAAAATTTAGATTACTGCACTTAAAAGCAGTTACCGGTATATAATAAGCAATTGCTTCATACCTGCATGCGTTCAAATTGGCTATACAAATTCTACATATTTTCTGTCAATCAATTCTTTCTTGCACATATAACAGATATTGATATTACCTGACTTTTCCCTAATCCTGGGTCTCCAACAACTAAAATATGGGGATCTCCTCTCACTGGAATTCTGTTCTGAAAGAAGGAAAGTCAAATAACTAGCAACTCCATGGCGAAATTGAAAAGTAAACAAACAGGTGAAAAAAAAAGCCCTAAAAAAATATGGAATAGCATGGGAAAATTATATCAGGATGCTTATAAAGTCGTTACACTTTTGTTGATTTTTGTATGTGTGTGTTTTAATAAGAGAATGTATATAGGACAACAAGATTCACTTCATATTCTGATACATCATGTCTATCAAGTGTATACAGAAAATATATATACAGAAACTCCTAGTGGATGGCTAGAAGTTATAGGGAAATCTAAATCTAGTCGTGTGTAAGAATTACAAAAACTCACCTTATCATTTGTAAACTTATGAGTTCCACCAAATAATCCCAGTATTAAACCTGCCTTCACTAACTGTAAATACAAAATTAAAATGAGTAAAAGAAAGATAAAATATTGAAGAAAATATGTGAAACAGATTTTAATTGCTTATTGGAGATTTTATTCATTATTTTTTTTAATAAGCATACAAAGATTAATTCACATAAACAAATAATTCCTCATTTTATTTTAGGGTAAAGCGAGTAACTTGATTGTTTTATAATTTCATAAATGAACAAAGAAGACTGTCCATAATTGCTTACATCCACTTTATTTGAACTTTGGTGGATAGTTGTCTCATTGGCAATCGTATCTCATCTCCTTATTTTTATATTAAGACAAAGACTTAGATAGGCACTTGTTGTCTATGTAATTCAAAATTTTGAATTTAAAATTATTCAGGATTACATTCCAAATATTACTTCATCAAAATTAGAAAATCTATGTAAAATCTTACCTCATGGCCATAAATAGATGGACAAAGTGACCTACAATATGCAAGATTTTACACTGCAGCTAAAAAAAATCTAACATTTCTAACTTGAAACCTATAATATCAAATAAACTTTACGTCTTTATGAAACCTGGTGAACAATTTTTATTACACTAATCCATACAGTAAGTTTTCATCATGATAATTATAAATACATGTGAAATATTTGGTAGGCATTGGTAAAAAACGTTAAAATCTTTTCTTTAAACTATCTAATCTTCAACTGTTCAATATTGCCATTTTCAATCAAGATGTTTTACATTTCAATCTGTGAAAACCATAACTAGAGGCTCTAAAGATCCTGTGTTGCTCACCTTGGTCTATATGCATGATGATGGAAGTTTTAAACGACCTTGACTGGCTATACAGCCCTCGCATGGTCGGTCTATGTGCATATTCAACAAAGGACACTCTCCAACATTGTAGACGAGAATAGAATTCATGACAAAAATCTCTGTTTTGTTGATCTTGTATTGCTGATCATTTAGTCTGTTTGGTTTCTCTCTATTTTCTTTAGTTTTTGCTCAAAACACAAAAGAGGGTAAACAAAATCCTCATTTAAGGGCAATCAACAGTCTACTAATGATATCGTCAAAATTTGACTTGTTAGTAGATCTTGCCTTGCTGATCATTTTTGTGATTTAAAGTGTCTATTTATCTATTATAATTTTTATCATATGAGGCAAAACGAAAAAAAATGGAAAAATCGTCATTAAAGGGCAATAACTTCAATAAAGAGTCGTCAGACGATTTCCTCCATGTTGTCTTAATTGAAGATCTTGTCTTGCTGATCATTTTTGCTTAGGCCAAAATGAACTAGATATCATTGAGATGGGAGCCATCTCTGTGGGCCCCGCTGTGAATAATTTGTGGTCAAAAATTTGTATCTTTATCATTGGACATGGGGTTGTCAACTGAAACCAAAGTTAATGACCTTGACCTTTGACCTAGGAAGTTGTACATAAATTATGACACACCCTCTGGTGTTGGTTTATATACATGTCAAGTATAAACTTTGAAATCATAACGGTTCTCAAGATATAGAGCGGACACAATCTTTACCATAGGACATGGGGTTGTCAACTAAAACCAAAGTTTTTGACCTTGACCTTTGACCTAGGAAGTTGTACATACATTATGACACACCCTCTGGTGTTGGTTAATATACATGTCAAGTATAAACTTTGAAATCATAATGGTTCTCTAGATATAGAGCGGACACAATTTGTTACGGACTGACGGACAGACTGATCACTATAATGCGTCTGCCATTCGCCAGGGCCCTAATTAATAGTGTGTTTCCTATTTCCGAAAAAATTAGGTAGGGTAGGCAGGTAAAAATTTTATTTTATGAAAACATTTTATTTTTTTTTCTATTGATGGGCTGACAATAGAAAAAAGTTCCAAATCAAATAGTTTGATGTGCGGGCTTCTTTGATATTTAGAATAGTAATTAAATCTACAGCTTTTTTAATTTTCTGTTTTAGTTCTGAGTCAGAAATATGAAAATAAACTTTAATGAAAATTTTATGCATTTCATTGGTCGTAAAAGGAAAAGTGTATGTTCTTCCTGATTAATTATCTTAAACCAAAAATGGCAGTGAAAAATCTGGCATGGTATGTTATTATGTTGGGCCTCGTTGAACCTAAAAATATAAATGTCACACAGGGTATACATGTGGAAGCAGATTACTACCCCTTGAAAACACTGTGAACCGATGCTAAGCAGCAGTTAATTATGATTTTTTTAGGGTTAATACTCTGCCCTTGCACCCTCCTTTTTTAATATACAGATGGGTTTTGATGTTAGACAGAACGTGATGTTGATTGAAGATTGGGTGGTTCTGACAATATTAAAATTGCAGGTTTTGAGGAGAGTGAGAATGTGAAATCTTTGTCTTATTAATGACGGTAGTAATGCCCTTTACCGTCGGGCGTCAAACGGTAATTTTCGGCTACCGCAAGCGTCAAATTGGTTAAAATTTTACCTTAATTCGCCAAATACTATACAAATCCTTGGCCAGAGGTCTCAAATAATTATCGTTACCGTTATTTTAGGAAAAAAATTTACGTGATTCGTCAAAATCGATTGATTTTTTTACCATCTAAAAGAAAGTGTACATTTTATCGTCATGCACCAAAAATTAGTTAATGTCATTTGGCAAGATTTTTTATAGTTATTCTGTCTACGTATATTTGTTCTGCCTAACAGAAGTTCCACTGGAAACTTTGTTATAAACAATGTCAAATTATCTGTTCCTGTTGGAACAAATATTCTATACCATTCATTCCGATAGGAACATATACTGTAATATTTATTCCAGTGGACATAATATTCCTGAACACTTTTTGCATTTGGAACTTCTATTATGAAGGAACTTCTATTTCGTGACAATTCGTCATGAAGGTACCCCCATTACGACCCTCATTAATCTACTGGTTAAATTAATTGCAGATGTAAATATGACATGATTTTTTCCCCTTTTCTTATATGAATTGTTATGGGACCAGCCAGAGAAATATAAAAGAATAAAAGTAAACATGGTGCTGGGGCAGATTCATTCATAAATGAATATGAATCATACACTATGTCTGCCTACTGTGGAAAGCTTCTCAAGTTTCATCTTTCTCGTTCCAAATTGTCCCCTTGCCATCATGAACTAAAAAGCATGAACAGCTGTTTATGTTGCATCCTGAGCACAATTCTGTACAACATTCGTAAAAGCATGTTTTACAACAAAAGCTGGATTGATTTTAGCAGTAAATTTGAACTCATTTTAAGATAAAATTGTTAGTCAATTTACCGACAGATACAGTCTGTCCAACCTGAAATGATTCTGACTTTTGGTCCAAAGAAGCACAGGTACAAGACAAGATTTTGTTAATATATGCATATATACTGAATAAACTATTCATTATATATACAAATATTTTTAAAAAACCTCGCTTGTACTTGTTCAAAGAAGTTGAGCAAAGGCCAAAGTGCGTCAACTTCATATTTTTTTCGTCTATAGGTCCATCATGATCAATCCTTCAAAAAGATTCTTCATATCGTAATTATCCGGAATCAATGTCATTATATTTTGCGTCCATGTGGTCACATTTCGCTTATTTGATAGCTAATACGCTACACGGTTGCCGAAAAGCCATGCTTGTTTATTTAAACTCTTGAAAAGCTTTACTTATCTATATTGGTTGTTATTATCAAACGCTTTGAAGATCTATAGTATTCTATGTGAGTTCATGGTCTAGTGGTTAAGACCGATGGCTACAGTGCTGAAGGTCCCGAGTTCGATTCTCACTCGGGGAGCTAAAAATATCAGTACATCAGAAGGGTGATTTTCACCCTCTCACACACATCTCTGGTACCCAGACGGGAGTTTAAACTAGAATGGGTACTATGGGGGCCTCGTTTGGTCAAAGTTGCTCCCGACTTTGACCTGAAGATCAATCTGCTGATATCTCTTCGGTTTGTCTGTCCCTGCCGAGCAGCCCGGTAGTTCTCTCCGAGTACTTCGGCTTCCTCCACCATAATAACAGATCTGCCCGGTGTCCTAACACTCCCTGGTGTTGGGGTGGGGATTGTCCTTGTAAATATTGAACATTGTAAATATGTTAGTGACACATCTCCATTAATCCCGATAGGGAGCGTACACGGATTCCACTGTACCCTCGCAGCTCTCATGGGGTGCTCCATAAACAGAGGGATCTACATACATACATGCTAAACGAACAATTGGATCCAGACAGATTGAAAAATCCGGATTTTGAATTTTTATTTTTATTTTTGTAAATAAAATGTTTAGGGTCGGCGTCGGAAAAGGAGGTAGGGACGGGGAACCGGAAACACACCATTTATTTATTTTGGCCTTACTTAAGTTTCTATCTATCTATTATAATTTTTAAGATATAAGGCAAAAACGCAAAAAATTGGTAAAAATCGTCATCAAAGGGCAAGAACTCTAATAAGAAGCACTGATGATTTTGACCATGTAAAACTTAGAAGTAGAACTTGTCTTGCTGGTCATTTTTGCAATTTAAAGTTTCTCTCTATCTATTATGGTTTTCAAGATAATAGACAAAAATGAAAAAAAATGGTAAAATTTGTCATTTAAGGGCAATAAATCCTATAAGAAGTTGTCTGACAGTTATGACATATATGTACAATTGGAAGAGCTCAACATTCTGAACATTTCGCACCTGACAGACATACCTGCCAACTTTTGAAAGCCTTTTTTATTAGCATGACTCTAGTTATTATTAATATATCAGTAGAAAAGATGAATCTGTAGCTAGAAGACCAGGATTTATTTTCTTGTGTTAGGATATTAAATGATTGTTGGCGTTTAAAATTTAAAATTATGCACAAAGAAGGACTTTATCAGGTTGGGAACAACACCCCAAATGAGGGGTAACCCCTCAATGTTAGGACATTAAAAACCAATTTTAAGTACAAATGAGCACATATCTATATTATTTGAAGAAACTTTTCCTAAAGAATTATACATCTATCTGGTATTATACATAAAATTGAGAATGGAAATGGGGAATGTGTCAAAGAGACAACAACCCGACCATAGAACAGACAACAGCAGAAGGTCACCAACAGGTCTTCAATGCAGCGAGAAATTCCCGCACCCGGAGGCGTCCTTCAGCTGGCCCCTAAACAAATATATATACTAGTTCAGTGATAATGAACGCCATACTAAACTCCAAATTGTACACAAGAAACTAAAATTAAAAATAATACAAGACTAACAAAGGCTAGAGGCTCCTGACTTGGGACAGGCGCAAAAATGCGGCGGGGTTAAACATGTTTATGAGATCTCAACCCTCCCCCTATACCTCTAGCCAATGTAGAAAAGTAAACGCATAACAATACGCACATTAAAATTCAGTTCAAGAGAAGTCCGAGTCTGATGTCAGAAGATGTAACCAAAGAAAATTAACAAAATGACAATAATACATAAATAACAACAGACTACTAGCAGTTAACTGACATGCCAGCTCCAGACTTCAATTAAACTGATTGAAAGATTATGTCTTCATCATATGAATATCAGGCACAATCCTTCCCGTTAGGGGTTTAGTATCATACCATCATAACATATATGAGAAGAACATAACCCGTGTCATGCCAACAACTGGTTTTTAAATAAATGTGTTTAGTGCCGATGCAAAGACCCTATAAGTGAATCAATATTAACGCTAAAATATGCAATCTTTAATGACCTGACAACAGTATCGTAACTATATCCCTTCTTAATAAGTCTATTTAAAGGTTTTGTTAGCTTCAGAGGTGAATACTGACATTTTTGTGCTTTATAAAGAATATTTCCATAAAAAATTGGATGTGAAATATCTGAACGTATAAGAAGTCTGCATGTTGAGCTATATTTACGAATGATGTCCTTATACCGATGATAAAATTTAGTAAATGTTTTGACTAGTTTGTGATATCGAAAACCCTGGTGTAATAATTTTTCAGTAATACATAAATTTCTCTCGTTAAAATCTAAAACATTGTTACATACACGAGCGAATCGTACAAGTTGAGATATATAAACACCGTAAGATGGTGACAAGGGAACGTCACCATCTAAAAATGGATAATTAACGATAGGAAATGAAAAATCATCTCTTTTATCATATATTTTAGTATTAAGCTTTCCGTTAATGATATAGATATCAAGATCGAGGAAAGGGCAGTGGTCATTGTTAGTATTAGCTTTATTTAAAGTAAGTTCAACAGGATAAATTTCTTTAGTATACATACTGAAGTCGTCATTATTGAGAGCCAAAATATCATCCAAATATCTAAAAGTATTATTAAATTTGTGTATCAGATGTTGTTTCGATGGGTCTTTGCTGATTTTTGTCATAAATTGTAACTCATAGCAATACAAAAAAAGGTCCGCAATAAGTGGTGCACAGTTAGTCCCCATTGGAATTCCGATAACCTGACGATATACGGAATCTCCAAAGAGAACAAAAATGTTATCTAGTAATAATTCAAGGGCATATATAGTATCAAAGCATGTCCAATTGACATAGATTTTTTGTTTATTGCTACTAAAAAATGACCTAAAAGAGTTTGAACATATATATTCACATTCTGACTTTTTAAATGCCCATTTAATTAGGTGTGTGAATTTTTTCTTAATGAGAATATGAGGCAATGTGGTATATAGGGTAGAAAAATCAAAACTTTGAACAGATTCAAAATCACCAATATATGCATGCAATTTATCAAGTACTTCCAACGAGTTCTTGACACTCCAAAAGTAATTAATTCCACTATTTTCGAATGCCTTATTTGAACAATTTATTATCAGGTTTTTGATTGTACCAAGTGTACTGGTAAGAAGAATAGACAATTTAGTAGTGGAACAATGGCTTGAAGACGAAATGAATCTATATTTGTAAGGTGTTTTGTGTAGCTTCGGAAGCCAATACATAGTTGGGACTTTCATTGTATTTGGTTCTGCTTGTAAAGCGGTAGCTAAAAGTTTATGTTTGTTACAGATGTCGTTTTCTGAAAATGGAGTCAGTTGGAATGTTGGTGAATTGGTGATTTCTTTTTTCAGAACCTCAATGTAAAATTTACGTCAAACAATAATAATATTATTAGCAGCTTTATGTATGGTCAAAACATGTCCAAGAATTTTGTAATGTTCCTGGATTTTTATTGGACCCCTCGTTTAGAAAAGACTTTAAAGTTGTTCCAAATATAATGAATTTTCCCACTTTTAAGTTAAAAAATCTAAATTTTTCTTTTTTACAACAGTAAAATGACCCCTTGTCTTAATATCTTGGGGACATCCCTCATTTAAGGGATATACCCCTCATTTGGGGGTTTGTTCCAAACCTGTTTGTTTGGTCCTTGTGAAAAATGAAGTACAAAATGTATAGTACATTGTACTTTAAATGATTTGCCCCATTTGGTAATTTAATTGAATACAAAAATGACATATGTTATAGCAAGTGTAATGTCAATAAATTAGTGAATAAACTACTATTTATTATCTTTATGGTAGTACTGCATCATTGAATTTTGTCAATCAGCCATGCTTTTATTCTTAAGCTGTTTAAGAACCTCCTTGCAGATGAAAATTAACCTTCCATGTTCATGATTTTACAATTCTGACTAACACACAGAGGAATACAACACAAGTTCAAAATCTAGCATGTTAGAATATTCTTAAGAGAAAACGTTTTTGATTGGCTGATCCTTACCTTACCTCTGTATCTTTACCCCCTTCAAAGGAGAACCACACAGGTTCTGTGTGTTGAACAGGTGCTTTGGGTGGCGGTGCTCATTATTTACAATGGTGCTGTGAATGTGGATCCCATCACCACAATTTATCCATGAATCACGATTGTCTTCCCTTGGGAACAGTTCAAATTCGGGAACAATCATATTTTTCATGTAAATTTTCACAAAATCGTGTTTTAGTGGTTTTTTCACGATCACGATCGTGCAATCGTGACAAAGGGTCAAAATCGTGTAGTACACGCCTAAATCGTGAAAGTTGGCAGGTATGGACAGATTTTCTCTATTCATAATGGTTTTCAAAATAATAGACAAAACTTGTATTTTACCCCTATGTTCTATTTTTAGCCATGTTGGCCATCTTGGTCAGTGTTCCAGCTAGGTCGTTTTCACAGGGCGGTCCGCCCGCCCTTTCACGAGTGCCGCCCTGTGCCCTTTTTAAGACGCCCTGCCCTTTTTCGTAAGTCCATGCCTTTATTGCTGTAATATTTTGATGAAAATACAATTATTCTACTTGTCTTCATATTTATGACAAGTTTATGACCCTAAGCTAATTAACATTTACAGCAGGTGTAATAAGTTGTGATTACAGATAATCCGCTTATCGACATCGGATGGGTCATTAATCCATTAATTAAACTTCATAATTTACCATTGCAATAATTTTTCTCATTAAATTCGGTCAGTCAGCATTTCAATTTCAATATTTCTCAAAAGATGACAATTTGCGTTTGATGTATCCGTAGATCGTCTGTTGTTTATATGTCAAAGATTTTTTTTTTAAATTGATCGTTTAATCTAGTTTTAATCCAGAAGAAAGTAAAAACAATGCTTGACTGTACCTTTCATTGAATATCGATATCCAAATTAAATTAATTAAAGCTGTAATCCATGATCACAAATTGACTGCTTTGTTTACATTTGTTGAAAGCCATGTGCTTTTTTGGCGGGAAAATTCGGAAAACCCCTTTAACAAGAAACAGTTACATTTCATTGTTCATTATAGACAGTAAGATTTTCATTTTAATTAACTGCTAAGATTATTTCATTTAAAATGAATACTTTCTTGGGGTGAAACTGATAACACTTTAATACTCTACATCTAGGGGTGTGTAAAATGGAAAAAGGGGGGGGGGGCTTTATATTTTTTATATATAATATTACAAATATAAGTTGAACAGTCTGAAAAGACATGGTTGAATGGATTTTAATTCTGAAAAACTCAATGTGGTTTATTATAATTCATTTATTATTTCTATCATAATCAGAAACACTGGGCTACATATATTAGGCATTTCAAACATATATTATTGCCTTTATAAGAACATTCAAGACTATTTATAAGTATGTACCTGTAGTAAAAATACCCTGGTAGGGCCTTAAAATTTCTCTTGGGCCCTTTTGTTTTGGGATCCAGGTTGGCCCCTGGAGAAAATGTAAGGTATTGTTCCTGACTGTATTGCAGATCTTGTGTAGTATTTTAACTGACATGCACAATTCATTTCACTAATGAAATAAAAATAATTCTACAAAACGCTGATGCGTTATATACGTCCTTGCATGGTCCCTTTAATACTGTTACCCAAAATAAGGTTGATTTTCATTCTAGCGTAAAAGTGACTAAACCCCCCTCAAAACTCCTAGCTGAAACCCCTGCAGTTAACATAAGACAATGTTTGACATGCCCTTTTTGAAATATCAATCATCGTGCTTAAGTGCCCTTTTCATGATTGGCTCCCTGCCCTTTTGAAATTCTAGCTGGAACACTGTTGGTTGGCAGGCAGGGTCATCAGACACATTTTTAAAACTTGAAACCCAAATGATGATTATGGCAAAGTTTGGTTAAATTTGACCCAGTAATTTCAGAGGAGGAAGATTTTTGTAAAAGTTAAAATACGACGACGGACGCCAAGTGATGAGAAACACTCACTTGGCCCTTTGGGTCGGGTGAGCTAAATAAAAGATGTTTTTAACTGATCTATTTATGGTCTACGAGAAAAACTATATTTGTATTTCTAGGAACAATGAAATTTCACTCACCCTACAAGCAATCTAAACAGATTTTTCTCACTTTGTATTTCTTCAATGGCATACAACTCCTTCATGGTGAACTCCATTGCTAGTCCTGAGTTATCACCAGATTTATTCCCCTTGGCATTCACAACAGAATTAGCATAAATATACAACAGGAACATACATTTGTCCTTATTTCTGCCTTTACCTAGAAGATAAAAAAAAACGACCCATCCAAATTTCATTTTACAGGCATGCTCATTAACTACTTCAGCGAGGATAATCAATCATCATACCTCAAAATTCTGAATGAACATCATTTTTTTCAGGAAAAGGTTGCCATTTACATCCATTAGTTCTTCAAGTTAATATGGAAATCTCCTTACATAAAAATGGACAACTTTTCATTCCATGCAAGCCATACTTAGCTTACTTTCACAATATCTAATTTTGTAGATTCAATTTTTTGCTGTCCTTCTTATCAGGTTCATATGGTATTATTCTTAAGAACTGCATACCTTTACCCTTAAGTCTTACTTTCCTTATGCAGATATTAATCTACAAGAAATGCTGTGATACTTTTCAAGACGTGATTTTTTGTCTAATTCTGTTAGCCTGTTTCAAACATTAAATATTAAAGAACTTCAGAAATGCCACTGTTGTTTTTATTTCCGGTAGTAATTTTTTTTTACTTACCCTCATCTACACTGTTAACTTTGACTATACCAGAAATAGTAACTACATCTCCAGGTACACAACTGTCAACTGAAAACACATTAGAAGTAAATAATATCTGAACTTCTGTTGACTGAGTTTTAACATAATAAAGAACAGGACTGAATGTGAATTCATTTTGCAGGAAAGTATTTTTTTACTATTCAATCTGATTGTTTGAAATTGTTGCCAATATTTCATGCAACATCAAGACAAGAACAAACTGTTACTATAAACAATGGCATTGCTCAGGACAGGGTTTGGTGAAGGAGATATAAATGAGAATTTTTTAATGTCACTTGAAACTGGTTAGCTTTCTGCATTGTTCTTATGTAGCCAACTCTTAACTGAACTCTTTAAATGGAATATTATTGGAACTTTCAATAATATATAACATTCCATTCAGTCAAATAAATATATAAATAAGATGTGGTATGAGTGCCAATGAGACAACTCTCCATCCAAGTCACAATGTGTAAAAAGTAAACAATTATAGGTCAAAATACATCCTTCAAGACGGAGCCTTTGCTCACACCGAACAGCAAGCTATAAAGGGCCCCAAAATGACTAGTGTAAATCAATTCAAACAGGAAAACCAACGGTCTAATCTATATAAAAACGAGAAACACTTATGAACAACATCAATGAACATCAACAACTGAACAACAGGCTCTTGACTAAGGACAGGTGCATACAAATACCCAATTACTGAATGATGAAAGTTATCCTCTATAGCGGTTTAAGAAATCTTTTGTTTATACTGGATGAGTGTTATGGAATGGACTACCACGCAAAATGCATAAAGTCCAAAACACTTTTACTTTCAAACAAAGTATCAAGAAGTACTTGACACAGTCCTGATAAGATTCTGTTTTCTACAATATTATGTATACTTTTTATTTTATTTTGATTTTATTTTTTGTTGTTGATTTTTTACTACATGTACCTCTTGAACAGTTCTGTCTCTAATCATGTTTAAAATAATACATTGAACTACTCGACTGTAAATAAACTTTGTGTAAATATTTGTATTTGATTGTATTGTAATTTGTATGTGAGGGCCTCAGGGAAGATTAGTTTGTTGTAACTAACTGTGTTTACCCTCTTTAAATAAAGAATTTATTATTACTATATTATTATTATACCACCGAGACATATGAGGACATGTAAATGAAGATGTCTAACCTAAATCTTATAATCAATCAAAGCGTGAAAGCGCTGTAAAGGCAGTTAATTACAGGTTGTGTGTATTTTTAGTCCAGTTATATCATTATCTTGCATAGTACAGTGTACTTATCAGAGGTGGCTTTCAGTATTTAAGATTTAGAGTTCTCTAATGATATTGAACAAGTTTTATGAATGTCATATTCTGAGCACTATATGAAGGCGATTGTTCTCACTTGTTTATGAACTAGTGCATTATGTCCAGTTTGTATCTTTTTTATCTATGTTTATAGTCAAATTAGTTATCAAAGGTACCAGGATTATAATTTAATACGCCAGACGCGTGTTTCGTCTACATAAGACTCATCAGTGACGTTCAGATCAAAATAGTAATAAAGCCAAACAAGTACAAAGTTGAAGAGCATTGAGGACCCAAAATTCCAAAAAGTTGTGCCAAATACGGCTAAGGTAATCTATTCCTTGGATAAGAAAATCCTTAGTTTTTTCATTGGTAATCATAACACATCTCCTTATTTATATAATGATCTATATTCAACGACCTCAGGTACAAAAAAAATGTATGTAACTAAACTATGATGGGAAACCTTTGACTTCTTTCTTTTATATAAACTTTTGATTTGGTACCATAGAACTATGTAGAATAAATGTACATGCAACATGTCAACTCTTTCAACTCTAAGCAAAATTATATTTCCAAGCATAAAGTAATTTATGAATGAAATAAAATGCTCCGCAGGGCGCAGCTTGATACGACCGCAGAGGTCGAACCCTGAACAGTTGGGGCAAGTATGGACACAACATTCAAGCTTGATACAGCTTTGCATTTGGATTGTGATTAAATATTTGACACAGCATAGGTTTCTGACACAGAATGAATGTGGTCTAAGAACTTAAAAATTTTAAATTGGACATTCACCTATTATGGTCCAATATCCAAAATCTAAATACATGGTTAGATTCAGCATATCAAAGAACCCCAAGAATTCAATTTTTGATGAAATCAAACAAAGTTTAATTTTGGACCCTTTTGACCTCAATGTGGACAAAGTTGATAACGGGGCCCAAAAATCAAAAATCTAAATACATGGTTAGATTCAGCATATCAAAGAACCCCATATATTCAATTTTTGTTGAAATCAAACAAAGTTTAATTTTGGACCCCGATTTGGACCAACTTGAAAACTGGGCCCATAATCAAAAATCTAAATACATGTTTAGATTCAGCATATCAAAGAACCCTAAGAATTCATTTTTTGTTAAAATCAAACTAAGTTTAATTTTGGACCCTTTGGACCTTAATGTAGACCAATTTGAAAACGGAACCAAAAATTAAGAATCTAAATACATGGTTAGATTCGGCATATCAAAGAACCCCAATAATTCAATTTTTGATGAAATCAAACAAAGTTTAATTTTGGACCCTTTGGACCTCAATGTGGACCAATTTAAAAACGGGGCCCAAAATCCAAAAACTAAATACACGGTTCGATTCAGCATATTAAAGAACCCCAAGAATTCAAGAATAAAACCCCATTGAAATTGGTCAAGAAATAAGCAATTTATATGAAGTATCTTCTTTTGCACGATACTGTGCAATTAAATATTTCTTGCTATTGCGCAATACTGTACGATTGACAATTTCTTGCTACTGCGCAATATTGTGCTATTGGATATTTCTTGCTATTGCGCAATACTGTGCAATTGAAGATTTCTTGCTATTGTGCAATACTGTGCAATTGAAAATTTCTTGCTATTGCACAATACTTATTATATAATAATTTACACATCCTGTTTGGTGTGTATCTCCTACCATATCATTATTATTTGCTTTTAAATATAAATCAGAAATAACCAACTTAAAATGGAAAATTTTAAAAGAAAAAAAAAGGAAAAAAAGAAAAAAAAGGGAACCCCCCCCCAAATTTTTTGAACCCCCTTATGATTCATCACCCCAAACACAATCCCAGCCTTCCCTTTGTGGTATGGTACCTTGCAGTACAATTTCAGAGAGATCCATACACTTGAACACAAGTTGTTGTCTGGAAATTAGAAAAATGTGTTTTTTGGCCCCTTTTTGGCCCCAAATTCTTAACATTCAGGGCAATTACCCCAAAACTCAAACCCAGCTTTCCCTTTGTGATATGGAACCTTGTAGTACAATTTCAGAAAGATCCATACACTTACACACAAGTTATTGTCCTGAAACTAGAAAAATGCTTGTTTTTTGCCCCTTTTTGGCCCCTAATTCCTACAATATTGAGGCAATTACCCCCATCATCAATCCCAGCCTTCCCTTTGTGGTATGGTACCTTGCAGTACGATTTCAGAGAGATCCATACACTTGAACACAAGTAATTGTCTGGAATCTAAAAAAATGCTTATTTTGGGCCCCTTTTTGGCCCCCAATTCCTAAACATTTCTGCAATTACCCCCAAACTCAATTCCAGCTTTCCCTTTGTGATATGGAACCTTGTAGTACAATTTCAGAAAGATCCATACACTTACACACAAGTAATTGTCATGAAACTAGAAAAATGCTTGTTTTTTGCCCCTTTTTTGGCCCCTAATTCCTAAAGTTTTGAGGCAATTACCCCCAAAATCAATCCCAGCATTCCTTTTGTGATATGGAACCTTGTGGTACAATGTCAGAGAGATCCACACACTAACACACAAGTTATGTCTGGAAGTTACAAAAATGCTTATTTTTGGCCCCTTTTTCCTTTACTGTTGGTCCCATAACCCCCAAAATCAATCCCAACCTTCCTTTTGTGGTATTGAACCTTGTGGTAAAATTTCATAGAGATCCATTCACTTAAACTAAAGTTAGAGTGCGAAAACCAATGTGTCTTCGGACGACGACGACGCCAACGTCATACCAATATACGACCACAAAAAATTTTTTGCGGTCGTAGAAGTAAACTGATTCGCTGAGCGCAGCTGGATACACCCGCAGAGATCCAACCCTGAACAGTTGGGGCAAAAATGGACACAATATTCAAGCTTGATACAAGTCTGAATTTGGATTGTAATCAAATATTTGACATATTATAGTTTCTGAATAAATGTAGTCAATGAACTTGAAATCGGTTATATGAATTGAATTTATATTCAATTAAAGATTTCTTGCTGTTGTGCAATACACTGTGCTGTTGCGCAATACTTAATTAATCTGTTGCCAGACTATAAACAAATAAAGTTCAATTTCTTCTCAATGTCATATTTGAAATTTATGAAAATCAATAGGGAGATTACATCAATAGCTATAAATAATTCACCAAAGTTTCATGTGAACTGCTTAAAGCATTTTTGAGTTGTTGTCCAAAAACTGGAAAATCCCCCCTTTTTTAATGAATAAAACCCCATAACTCAGAAATGTAAAATCTAAAATTTATAAAATTCTAAAGGGAGCTTACGGATTGATAATTTAGTCTTACATGCAAGATTTTTTTATCAGTTGTTAGTGGCTTTGAACTAGCTGTCAGTAACTGTGAGTACTCTCAGATCTGTACTTAGTGTCTTTTTGTTGTTTTGATGTACAACTACCCGACCACGTCCACTTGTATTTGTATTTATCCATCTGATGAGTTAAGCCTCTTTCAACTGATTTTTATAGTTCTTTCTTATATTGTACTGTTACACCACTGTCCCAGGTTAGGGGAGGGTTGGGATCCCGCCAACATGTTTAAGCCCGCCACATTCTGTATGTACATGTATGTGCCTGTCCCAAGTCAGGAGCCTGTAAAAGTGTAATTCAGTGGTTGTCGTTTGTTTATGTGTTGCATATTTGTTATATTTGTTCATTTTTTGTACATAAATTAGGCCGTTAGTTTTCTCGTTTGAATTGTTTTACATTGTCATTTCGGGGCCTTTTATAGCTGACTGTGCGGTATGGGCTTTGCTCATTGTTGAAGGCAGTACTGTGACCTATAGCTGTTAATTTCTGTGTCATTTGGTCTCTTGTGGAGAGTTGTCTCATTGGCAATCATACCACATCTTCTTTTTTATATTTACATCAACAGATATAAAAAATTCACCAAAGTCAAGGTGAGGCAACAAAACTTAGTGGTAAGATCTCTGAAATTTTTTACAGGGTACAGGTTTTTCTCATTGTTGGAGATTGTACGGTGACAGTAACACCTGTAACTGCTTAAACCCATTTCTTATGCACTTTAGTTCGATAAACTCACTGAATATCATACCACATCTCCTTATTTTTATATGCATTACAATTTACATGTGCATGTAATTGTAAATATATATATATCAGAACAAAATTCATTGCGTCACTTTTATTTATGCATCCTTTGGCACAATACAAGTTCTAAAATTACACAACATAAAACAACTAAATGTTATTTCAGATGAAAGTTTTGTTTCAGTTCCATTCATAGGATTTATTAGAATTTTGTATGTTTTGCCAAGTCCAATAATTTGCTCTATGTGACATAGAGACATAGTTGACTAAACCACCAGGTGTCGAACATTCAAGAATTTTCAGTGTTTCTGTTTTTATTTGATGAAAAGGTTGCCTGAGCTCTAGGAGCTTTAGGTTTTATCACGGGATATTCTGTGCTGTCAATAATAATCAAAGTCGTAGGAAACTTTAATTTGAAGTTGGATGGTGAAAAATACCTGACTAAACCACTAGATGGCCAAGTGTTAGCCTCACACCACTGTTTAGACATAAAAACAATCCATGTATACACAATATTCTTAACACTAGATTCAATCTAGAATCTACAAATGTAGACAGTTCAAAGTTGGTTGTATAATGCCTCAATTTCATCAAAGTCATAAAAAAACTGATTTTCAACTGACACCCTATCAATTTGAAAATATATGCATCTCAAACAATGTGCTGCTGGACCAAGTGTGGTCAAAACAAATAAAAATTTAGTATACAACTCTAAAAATGCATGGCTGTGTCACGTGTCTTCATTTCAAAATTCTCTGCTGAAAACATAGGCATTGATGGTGTTTGCGTAATTCCATCTGTGAAGCTCAACATTAGCTCGGCAATTGGTGGTGGACAGTCATAAATCCTTTCTGCAGTATGAATGACTTCTTCAGGAAAACCAACTTTACAATCAAAACTTTCCTCTAGATTTCTACTACAATATTCATCAAGTTTAGTTCTTTTGTTTTCACAGGAAACTGCCCTGATTTTTGCGGACGATTCAGTCTCTTGCTTGGTCCAGGAAAATAGGCTGGGAATGGCAGTAGACTTAAGTCTCTGTATGGTGGGTTTGCGCCCTGAAAAAGGTTATAAAACATTAGTTTTTTGATAATTAAATGAACTTCCATTAGCAATGTATACTTTGTACTACCTGGCGAAATATTAACTAGATTTATTCATTACAATCTGGATAAAACTATGTTTGCCTGATTCAATGTATGTTATGTAAATCCAAAGGACAAACAATGAGAGACTTATGCAACAAACGTACATTGTTTGTACCTAAATAACTATAATATTGATGAGAGCATGTCAGTTTTGTTCCTGTTAACATTGTCATTGATATTTTTCAAGAAAGTCTATGAGGCATAGCTTATGCATTCCTGTCATTACTACATTAGCATAATTACTGCTAAAATAATTCTCAGTATGATATACCTCTTGTAAGAAATCATTATAATTGTAGCAATCACCAAAAAATCTCAAACAGATCACATTGAATCGTAATCCAAAAAATTATGACGTCTTGAATTACCCACCCCCTTTTATTCTAAAACGATAATTGCGGTTGTAAACAGACTTTGGTTTATTCGCATGGCGATTACATATATAACTATATATTTCACAAAGAAAATAGAGTTTTACCATGAATAGTTTCCTGCACGTAGTCTTTTTCAGTAAAACGTGCCTTGCAAACAAGAATCCGGGTCCGTTCGCGCCCAATCACGTTCGCCTCCATGCATGTTCGCTCCCCTTTCACTTTCGCACCCTACACGTTCGCACCCAAAGTCCGTTCGCACCCTACACGTTCGCGCCCAATTTTTATTGGTTTTGTGTTTAATAATTTGTAAACGAGTTTTGGTAAGTGTATTGCTATAAATATATATTTTTTCATTGTTTCTAAATAAAGTGAGATTTTTTGTGTCATGGTAAATGGTAGATGTATTGCTATTAACATTTTTTTTTCATTGTTTTTAAATTAAGTGAGATTCTGACGACCAGTATTTTAGTTTTGTGTTGAATAATTTTTAATCATGTTTAGGTAAGTGTATTGCTCTATATATATCTATATATATACAAGTCTAAATTGAAAACAACGTTCAAACCTTTGATTGCGTTGGATAAAAACCGCAATTTCTATACGCGTGCATGTAAAACAAATATATATATATATATATATAAATTATTTTTTTCATTGTTTCTAAATAAAGTGAGATTCTGACAACGTTTTTTTAGGTGATGATAAAATCTTAATCATGTTTTGGTTAGTGTATTGCTATAAATATTTCTTTTTTATTGTTTCAAAAGGAAATGGGATTCTGACAACGTTTTTTTTTATATGTTGAATAATTCGTAATCATGTTTTGGATAGTGTATTGCTATAAATATTTTTTTTCATTGTTTATGAATAAAGTGAGATTCTGACACACATGAGATCAAAGGAGCCAAGCTGTTAAAAACAATTATCTTTCATGTTTTTTATTTAAAATCTTCAAAGTTTTACTCATACCAAGCTAAATACATGCAGTATTTACATTTAAAGCAAGTTAAAACAACCATGACAACAATCATGATTTTTAAACACCCAACAATAACATCATATTAGGCTGTGTATAAATACCAATTAGCAGTAATCATACATAATTAACATTTAATAATTAATCATCAAATCAATTTAAAACAATATTTCATTTAAAAATTCCCGAATTTTTATTTATGAAAATAAAAATATTTTACAAAACATCTAAAAATTTATCAGGTTTTTGAATAAAAAAAGGGTGCGAACGGACCTAGGGGGCGAACGTGTGGGGTGCGAACGTGTAGGGTGCGAACGTGTAGGGTGCGAACGTGTATTGGGTGCGAACGGACCCGATACCTGCAAACAACAGCTGATTGAGATGGACTCCACGATATCATCGTGTTCTCGTCCAATCTGCGTATGGGCCATGGCGTTGATCCAACTTTTCCTTCTTTTTAAGTCATTTGGAAATGCATGTCCTCCTCTTAAATGACATCCAGGTACACAACAACAAGTACTTGGCATCGTTAATTAAAAATTTTACTGAAATAGTTGCACAGTGCAGAAACCGGAAGTTGAGGAACAGGATCCGCTACCACGGCGCCACCTATTCAGGAACGATAATTTGCTACTTTATATAACTGCGAAATAACAATAACGTTAGACGGGTTCACGTGCATAAACAGAAATGCGCTTTAAATTGTATAATATAATTCATGTTCAGTCGACCTTTAATTATTATATCAACGACTGAAATGATTTATAAACATCTAGATTGCAGATAACACTCGAAATTAACCCGAGCTCTTTCCACACGGAATTCAAATAATTCTAGTTTGTCAATCGGTTGACTGCTTATAATGAAAAATACTAATATATCAAAAGTTTTTAAAACTAACAAAACACAATAATCGTTTCTCTATTTCCCAATGTAAATGAAATGAAACAAAAAACATTTTATATCGCAATAAGAAGAGGAGAGAATTCAACATTTCCGGATCTACTTGGAGCCTAATGACCCCCCACGTAGATAAGTTGGATATCGCGGAAGGAAGGATTAACCCGGCAACATGAAAGGCATTAAAGCACTGCCTTTAAAAATGCTTAGTTTGATATCTAGCAGCTCATGTAACTTATGCTACACATGCAAGCAGACAATAATAAGCTTACTGTTCCATCTTTCTTACAAACCTAAATCTTGTGTCAGTTCACAGTCAATAGTTCTTGGTATTCTGCCAGTTTCCTTCAGTCTGTCTACCATTATTTCTTGTACCCTATTAAAGGAAATCACAAAAGAAATGATCTTTCAAAAGAAAATTCTTTTATAGATTTCCAAGTAATGCCAAACTATGTAAAATTACTAAAATATGATCAAATTATCATCATAAACAACATGTGAAGTATATTATAATGTTTTGGTATAATAGACAACCAGTTATCGAGATCATATGTGGAATAGCTCCAATTCATATCATGTAGACCAAGAAAGTACTATTATGATGGACAGGACATGTATTGTAGACAACAGGTGTATGTAGAATTTAGATGAGAAAGACCATAGCAGGTTTTTAATAGCTTTGGGCTATGACTACCATGAATTTGGCACGCTGCATAATAAATTATAACAGCAAATTTTCTATTTCATAGCAGTAAGTTTCTAAGAACTCAGTATTGTCAGATGCATTGAAAAATATCTGCAGATGTCCGACATAAACCATTCTATTACATGTTTTAATACATGAACTTAATGCATACCTGATAGTCTGCCAGTCTATGGTTCTTGTAAGTTCTGAACTTCTCTTTGCAAAGAATGTTTTGCCCTTACAATCCTGAGAAGGACACTGCAATTCAAGAATATAAATGTAATCCGAAATGTCTATTTAAGGAATGACTGTAATATTTTTTCTGTCTATGAAGAAATAACATAAAAATGTGGTGCACACTGAATAACCCTTGTAGCAGGTTATTTTAAAGTGTGCACCACATTTTTTATGTTATTTCAAATAGACAGAAAAAATATTACAGTCATTTCTTATAATTTAATTCTAAATTCCATTTTAAACGGTAGTAAACCATGAAAAAACGTTGATGACGTCAAGGTCACATGACAAAATTATGTCTATGAGCTGATAAACAAAACAACGTCAGCCAATCAGAAGACACGTTACATCCAAAATTAAATTATTCAGAGAGATACTGGATATTAAGCTTAATACTGTGGATTCATTATTATTTGTGGGGTACCAGTTGTCATGGTTACAGGTTAACTATCAATGCAAATGTTCAACGAAGAATCAATGGTCTATAGGCTTGTATGCAGACTTGGTAAAACCATGAAATCAAATATCCCTGAATACACAGTATTATAAAATTAAGAAATAACATATTTTAACCATGTTGCTGTATGTACTACTAATTCAGAAATTTATAGATTATAATTTTAAAGCAGGATCAAAGGAAAATCATATAAATCTTTATAAAGATCAATTGTCTGCCCTTCATTATATTTGACCAATACTATTTTACTTTACATCTCCATAAAGTGTACTAGCACTAACTTTTCAAGATGGTTCACAGAAATTATTTCTGGCAATTTTGGAAAGGTTACACTTACAAGACTCATTCTCTTATCACCTTAAGTTAGAGGGGATATAAAAGAAGAGAACTTTGTTCTGTGGAAATTTCCTGAGAAAAAAGTTTCAACAACTTTACAGAAATTTTATCCAAGTCTTCAATATGTCAGCTATTTCTTTGTTTTAATACAAACTAAATATGAAGGTGCTGTAAATTTGTATACCTACCTTGGTAGGCACTGTATATTTACCATCAGGTAATGTCACACTCTGAAATAAGAGTCATTTGAATATATAAAATTTCAATAATCCTCATTAATTTTTCAAACTGTACTAGGGTTACATTACATGGTCATGTGATGGTTAACTAATGTACACTGAGTTTCCTCATAAAGAAACTAAGATATATTTATTGAGTGAATTGAAACAATCTTTTTGATATTCTGAAATATGGATTTAATTCATTACAACAAAAATTTCACTGCATTTATGCATACACCAGCCAACAAATTTAAACTGAGACCTTATGAACGACAGGCCTAACAAAACATAATGTGGATTCCTTATTTTTTCGTGGGATACCAATTTTTTGTAACCACAAATTCAAAGTTCAACAAAGTACAAATTTTCCATATAAAAAAAATTATAGACTGGCAAAACCAGGAAATCAAATATCCACCAAAATATAATTTGTCATCAATTTCATGAAAATTGGTACCCAACAAAATAACTGAATCCACTTTAAGGATGTATTCTTCTGATGTTTCAGTCTTGTTGAAATCTTGTACGGGAATTATTTCCAAAACATGTGATACAAGTGGAAAATATCAATGAATTTAAAAAATATTATAATCAAACTAAACTCTGTGAAAAAATTGTGTACTTACAATAAGTAGTTTTTGTGTAATAAAATGTTCAATTCTTATTACCAATCCAGTCAGTATCATCAGCCAAAATGTTGAGAAAATGGGTGAGGAGTACAAAGACATGATTTTACAAAAAAATGTACATCTTATATCAATTTTTTTCTTTTCAAAATTATAAGATGTGTATTTTTTCAAACATTTATAACAAAGAAGTTGAAATAATATGCTTTTTGTTAAAAAAAAAAAGAAGCAAAAAATCCCAAATTTACAAAATTGACAGAATGGTCAATTTGACATAAAAAAGCAACAAAGTTTTATAAAACTTTCAAATATTAACACCAACAGATAGTTTTTTTAAGTTACATTTATTCGCATTGGTCCACTTCATCTTTAGTAAAAGTATAAAAAAAAGCTTAATTGTGAAACTGTGATTTTTTTCATAATAATTACCAAAAAATTTATGAAAATGGGAAAATCATTAAAATGGGGTACTTTAAAATGGCATAGCGAAAAAAGAAGTGCACCATCATATGATTTTTTATTCATCAATTACTTTCTTACAGTCATATTAACCCAAAAATCAGGTTAAGAAAAAAAAATTCTAGAAATTTTTGGCTCCTCACAGGTGTACATCCTTAAAGCTGGTAAAGGAGTTATTACAGAGTAATAAACTGTTATCACAGAGATATGTCTCGCCTTTTTGTAATTTTGATAATGCAAATGTTGAAATTAAAATAGCAATACTTTAATATGTAAGTTATGCAAATATTCAAAGTAGATGAACCATGACTGAAGGTACATAGCTAAACAATCTCCATGGAATGAGATATGCCAATGCTAATACAACTGCATACCAAAAACCATTGACTTATTATAAGTCGTTCACTTTAAAAAAACCTAAACACAAACATTAACTTGTAAACTATGTAAAAGTTTCAAAGTCAATGAACCATGATCAGGGGTGGGGCTATATAATCTCCATGGAAACGATACTTGCAAATGCCAATAAATTTGCATACCAAATATCATTGACTTAACATTAGCAGTTCATCTTAAACTGATCTAATCACAAACTAATACATGTAAACTAAGCAAAAGTTTCAAAGTAAATAGACCATGACTGAGGGGGCGGAGCCAAATATTCTCCATGGAAATGAGATGTGCTAATGCTTATACAACTGAACACCAATTAACATTGGCCTACCACTAATGGTTCCCCTTGAACTGACCTAATCACAAACTAATACATGTTAACTTAGCAAAATTTTCAAAGTCTATAGACCATGACTAAGGGGGTGGAGCCAAATAATCTTCATGGAAATGAGATGTGCCAATGCTTATACAACTGCATACCAAATATCATTGACCTACCACTAGTGGTTCCCCATAAATTGACCTAATCACAAACTAATACATGTAAACTATGAAAAGTTTCAAAGTCAATAGACCTTGACTGAGGGGGTGGGGCCAAATAATCTCCATGGTAATGAGATGTGCCAATGCTAATACAACTGCATACCAAATATCATTGACCTACCACTAGTGGTTCACTATGAACTAGACCTAATCACAAACTAATACATTGTTGACGCCGCCGCCGCCGGAAACAGCATACCTATGTCTTGCTTTTTGACTCCGTCAAGGCGAGACAAAAACTGCATTATGCCATATCACCAGTCTATACAGTTACCACAATTACTTTGATAGTAGTCTCTCTATTTCCCCCCTTTTTGACAGCAAAGTTTTAGAATGTACTTGCTTTCTGGTGAAAAATATCCAACAATACAAATACAGTCAAACCTGCCTTAACAGTCGCCTTCATCTAATGGTAATTTTTACTTTATTTTTTATCTCATTTAAGCAGTCACCTACTTTACTACCAAAAAAGTACTTATCAAATTTTTACTGGAAATCGACTTTTTCTTTTCATTCATATTGTTAAATAATACAGTAAAACCCGAGAGAATCTAAAATACATTGTGCACACAACAGATATAAATCCTGATGAAAATCAAACTTATTTTTCTCAAGCATAGGTTTTATGCCTATCGTAAAGTTGTCAAAGAAGCCAAGTAATTATCGAATAAATGCAAACTAATGGATTTGAATTGCTAAATAGATTTCGTTGTAAGTAGTATATTAAAAACTTCAGGGGACAAGTCATTGCAAATAAAAGTAAACACGATACAATTCAATATTCTAATTGTAATATAGGAGTCATAAATTTATGTGCGGTATGCGTATGAATTTTCTGATCTATTTTAGTTTCTTGTTTAACAAGAGAATAAACGAGTTATGCAAATTAGTAGGGTATTTAATAGATTGAAAACGGGTTTCAAGTTTATCGAAGGCTGGGCAGTGACCACTCGACTTGCAGACAATTTATCATGATGTCCGATTCAGAACTAGACCTCGACGATAGAGAATTAACCAAGACTCCTGACAAGTCAATTGAAGCCTTACGTTCTGCTGCAGAATCAACGAAAAGAAAAGGTAATTCAGAACAAGATAAGTCACCAGAAGTTTCAAATGCAGATTTGTTTTCTTAGATGACAACGTATTTTAATAATAAACTTTCCGGCATAGAGAAGAATTTTTCAGATACTACAGAGACATTAGTAAAGAGAGCAAAGAAAGCAGAGAATACCTTTAAATTTAAGGGGAATCAAGTACAATTTGAGCTTAATTCTGATATTCAAGACAGTATCAGCACGGCAATTAGTTACATTGAGAAGAATCGACCTAAAAAGGCAGTTCGGGTATTAGAAGATTCCTCCGTTCAGCTCAAGAAGAGAAATAAATTAATCAGAATTGCAGATAAGTCCGAGGGCGGTTGGAGAACTGTTAATGAATACCTTTCAGATGAAGTGGCCAGCGACTCGGAAGATGAGAAAAGAATACGCGCAGCAGACAACAGACAACCAAATGGCACATAATGGTACAGGTGGTTCTGAAGCTACATTTTGCCTGCAGCCCTTTCGAGGGAGCTTGGCCGCCTAGCGGCCAAAGAGTCGGCCACCAAAATAACTTCAAGACCTCAGACGTCTGCTACAACTGTGGCATGCAAGGACACTGGGCAAGAGACTGCAGAAAGGGAAAGGCAAGGACAGGACCTCCCAGAGGATCTTCTTCTTAAAGATCAAAACAGTGACATTTTCAAGGTACAAGATTATGATATTTTTCAAATATTTTATGAATATGAAAATTGTAATTCTAATATTTATGTTAAAGGTTGTTTGAAAAATTCTATTAACTTTTGGAAACAAATTAATGCTTCAGATTTCATTTTGAATGTTATTATAGACGGTTACAAAATTCTGTTGCTTCACGAGCCTGAAGAAATATTCTTACGAAATAATAAATCAGCATTTAATAATAGTGAATTTGTTTCAACAGCTATTTTAGATTTAATGAAAGGTGGTTTGATATGTGAAGTATCGAGTAGACCGCACATGGTTAATCCTTTGACCGTCCCAACTGCGAAAAATAAACACAGGTTAATTTTAGATTTACGACACGTAAACAAACAGGTAGTCGATAACAAGATTAAATTCGAAGATTGGAAAGTAGTTAAACAGTATTTATCTTCTAATTGTTTCTGATTTGTTTTTGATATGAAATCAGGATATCATCATATTGATATTTTTAATGAGCATCAGAAATATTTAGGTTTCTCCTGGAAATTAGGAGGTGTAACAAAGTTTTTTGTTTTTACTGCACTTCCTTTTGGTTTGAAATCTAGTGGATATATCTTTACTAAAGTCTTCCGACCTTTGGTAAAATATTGGCGAAAGAAAGGAATCAAAGTCGTTGTTTATTTAGATGAAGGGTTCGTTTTAGCCGAGAATGAAAGCACATGTAAAATGCACTCTGATTTAATTAAGTCAGATCTTATATCATCGGGGTTCGTACCAAACAGAGATAAATGTCACTGGACACCAACACAAAAATTAGAGTGGTTAGGTTTTATCTGGAATTTAGGCATATGTAAACTCAATATACCAGATAGAAAAAAGAATGATTTAATTGAATTAGTCAATATTATACTTTACAGTTCCTGTAAAGTGAAAGTAAGATTGTTAGCAAAAGCAGCTGGTAAAATTATTTCTTTTACGCCTGCTTTAGGGCACATTACACAGATCATGTCGAGAGGTTTGTTTACAGTTATAAATTTAAGACAAGATTGGGACCAATCTATTAATATAAATCATTGTAACGCATGTATCAGAGATCTGATATTTTGGAGAGATGACATTTGTAAGTTAGAACCAGTTTCTTTGTTAGGACTGGATTCTGAATTTTACATATTTACTGATGCAAGCAATACAGGAGCTGCTGGATATATTGATAATCTGGAACAGATTATGCACAAATCTTGGTCTGATGACGAGAAATTGAAGAGTTCCACTTGGAGGGAAGTCAAAGCAATAGAGTTGTCTCTACTAAGTTTTGCACGTTTACTAAAACATTGCACTGTCTCGCTTTATACTGATAATCAAAACGCTGTAACAATAGTTCACAAGGGTAGTAAAGTACCAGAATTACAGTCTTTAGCTTTATCAATCTACGATTGTTGTCGCAAAAATGATATTACTATTTTTGTTAACTGGGTTCCAAGGGAACAGAATGAATAGGCTGACATGCTAAGTAGAATTGTCAATATTGACGACTGGCGTATTTCAGATGAATTTTTCACATTCTTGAATGATTTATGGGGTACATTTTCAGTGGATAGGTTTGCTAGCTTTGAAAATAAGAAATTACCAAAATTTAATTCTTTATATTGGAACCCAGGTTCTTTGTGCGTCGACGCTTTCACGTGCGAGTGGTACGGTGAGAACAACTGGCTAGTACCTCCAGTAACTGAGGCTAGCAGGGTTATAAATCATCTAGTAAAATGCAGAGCTAAAGGAACTTTGATAGTTCCGAATTGGCCTTCTTCGCCATTTTGGCCGTTGATTTTTGACACTGGTCTAAAATATAGAAAGTACATAAATGATGTGCTTCAGTTTAATGAACCAGAGAGAATTTTCGAATCTGGAAATAATTTGAACTCTGTATTTGTGAGAGGAGATTTTAAAGGAACTATATTAGCTGTTTTGTTAGACGCTTCATATTGTGAATTTATTTTTCATTTACAGAATTGTTTTTACTATATGAATATTGATGTAATGTGTGTGTTGGAAGTCACTGGACGTTTTTGTCGATCACTGGACGTTATGCTCTTTGGTCACTGGACTAAATCTTTTAATAATACTGTATGGTCACTGGACCTGATTGATATGCATTGATTCAGGTAAATATGTTATGTATGTAAAAGTAATATTGTTAGTAAAGATTATAATTACTGTATATCTATTTTTAGAACATTTTTTTGACTGGATTCTGGTCACAGTTAAGTTCGGTTAAGCACACAGAACTCCGACTACTTTACTCAAATCTAAATGCAACTGTCTTAGATTCGAGGGCCAAGACGACTGTTACAAAATATATTGGAGGTTTCAAACGTTTTCTAAGGTGGACACAAAAATACAAAGAGATAACTTCCGTACTTCCGTGTAATAAACTTTATGTGGGTTTATACTTGCAACATTTGATTGAGTCATCTAAGTGTTTTAGTTCAGTAGATACAGCATTTTATAGCATAAAATGGGCTCATCGTATTGCTGGCGTAACTGATCCAAGCGAATCTGAACTAGACAAGAATATACTAGAAGGCGCTAAGAGAATACTATCTCGTCCACAAAAGAAAAAAGAACCAGTTGACTCGAACTCACTGATTAAACTGTTTAATAAATACCAAGATCGTAACTCATTGAAAGAAGTGCGATTATTGTTAATGTGTTCGTTAATGTATACAGGGTTTTTGCGTTTCAATGAGTTATGCAACATTACAGCTAAAGACATAGTTTTTCATACTTCGCATGTCAATGTCTTTATTTATAAGAGAAAAATAGATTGTTATAGACATGGTCATAACGTTGTCATTTCTAGATTAGATAGTCCTTACTGTCCTGTAAAGCTTTTGCAAAGTTATCTAGATTTAGCAAAGATTGAGAATAATTCAGAATCTTTTATATTTCGTGCATTGTCTTTATTAAAGAAAACTAATTCTTTTATATTGAAGTAAAAATGTAAAAATTTTGTATACTCAAGAGAGTTGGTTAAAGAGGCTTTGTCACAAATTGGTTTAAATGTAAACAAATTTGGTTTACACAGTTTCAGAGCAGGCGGTGCCACTGCGGCCGCTAAATATGGTATACCAGATGGACTTTTTAAAATACATGGAAGATGGAAATCTGATTTAGCTAAAGATGGTTACGTATCAGATAGTTTAGAAAAACGATTATCAGTTTCTAAGAATTTAGGTTTATAGCAATTACACATTCTGCTTTCTTTGTACGTCGAAATGGTCACCGTGCCTGTTAGTATCAGAAATAGTCTTGTCTTATTTATATAGATATATACAATATGAGTCAGTTTAGAACAGAAATTAGGGGAAGAGTCGTACAAGAAAATTAGAGCAAGTTAGCACATAAATATGTTATGTTCGTTTGAACATCGTGAACTAAGAACATAAATAAATTTATGTGCGGTATGCATATGAATTTTCTGATCTATTTTAGTTTCTTGTTTAACACGAGAATAAACAAGTTATGCAAATTAGTAGGGTATTCAAGTTTATCGAAGGCTGGGCGGTGACCACTCGACTTGCAGACAATTTTTTTTTTTTTTATATTGTTAAATGTGTATAAGACATGTGCAGTGAATATGTATTTCTAGTATACTGATTTGTAATGTTTATTTTATAGATTTGATATGATAAAGTGTTTATGCAGAGGCGTTTAGGACATTATTGTTTGATGAAATGAAAAGACAATTTTAGAAAATTGATTAGATTGTGAATTATGATGATTAAATAGAAATGGTCACCGTGCCTGTTAGTATCAGAAATAGTCTTGTCTTATTTATATAGATATATACAATATGAGTCAGTTTAGAACAGAAATTAGGGGTAGAGGCGTGCAAGAAAATTAGAGCAAGTTAGCACATAAATATGTTATGTTCGTTTGAACATCGTGAACTAAGAACATAAATAAATTTATGTGCGGTATGCATATGAATTTTCTGATCTATTTTAGTTTCTTGTTTAGCAAGAGAATAAACAAGTTATGCAAATTAGTAGGGTATTCAAGTTTATCGAAGGCTGGGCGGTGACCACTCGACTTGCAGACAATTTTTTTTTTTTTTATATTGTTAAATGTGTATAAGACATGTGCAGTGAATATGTATTTCTAGTATACTGATTTGTAATGTTTATTTTATAGATTTGATATGATAAAGTGTTTATGCAGAGGCGTTTAGGACATTATTGTTTGATGAAATGAAAAGACAATTTTAGAAAATTGATTAGATTGTGAATTATGATGATTAAATAGAAATGGTCACCGTGCCTGTTAGTATCAGAAATAGTCTTGTCTTATTTATATAGATATATACAATATGAGTCAGTTTAGAACAGAAATTAGGGGTAGAGGCGTGCAAGAAAATTAGAGCAAGTTAGCACATAAATATGTTATGTTCGTTTGAACATCGTGAACTAAGAACATAATGGTATTTTTACTCTGATTAAAGTATTACGAGATAGTCAATTGAATGATTGTCATTTCTCAATAAATTCCCAGCAAAAAAATATTAAATTGTATTTATAAATTTTCATAATTGCATTTTAACTGATTATAAATCATAGTAATAAAACATTTTCAGTATACTTTACAATGTTTGAATTTGGAACCGCGTTTAAGAGGTCACTTTTGGTATTTCCCATGCATGACTGCTTAATACAGGGTTGACTGTTTAACAGAATTAATGTTCAGAACAGGCTGATACACTCTTAAGTGTTTGAAATCATTTCATAATTAAGAAATCTACCTGAAGTATTGATGTTACTTAATACATAATGGTTTGATATTACTAACTCTCACTACTGTTCCCCTGACAGTTATAAATATGTTATTACCTGAACATTACCACAGGAAACACATTCAAATGCTAACTTTGTACATAATGGTTTGATGTTACTAACTCTCACTACTGTTCCCTTCACAGAGACAAACTTTCCTACAATTTATGAGAAATTTTGTTGAATTATTAACCATTTACTAATTAAAAATACAAAGTCTCTAAATGTAATTAAATTAAATGTTGCAATTTTTTCTTTGTAAATTTGCTGCTATACCATGCATGCATTGATTTTAAAACATTTTTCAGTTCATATGGATATGAAGTTGATTTTTGGTTGCAATATATTTTTGGATTACTGTCTCACTGATGTTAACCTCATATTTTTATCCACATTAAATGGGGAAAATATATAAAACTATTTTATCTATCATCATTTTTGATACTATTCTGCTTCTTAAAGTTTACAGTGTGGAAAGAAACAACACTATGATGCAACTACTGTGAAAGTACTTTTATTCATGGGGTACCAATTTTCGTGGTTTTCGTAGATGGCTTCATCAACAAATTTAAGTGTCCAACGAAATATAACAACTGTTTTCCAAATCAAGATAAGGAACGATCCATGTACACGATGTAGGTTTGGCTACATGGATACGGCGTATAATCTAGTAAATACATCGAATATCGGTAAACGTACTATGAACTATATACGTGTATGTACATCTTCAGACAGGGTTTTACCCATTTAATCTTTAAAGAACCTAAACTGTACGTCTTTTTACCTTTTAATTGTCATGAAAAATTTGTTTTGTTCGATGAATGTCAGACTTCCAGTGATGATATGCGATGATGAAGTGTTCATGTTATCTCCTCATGATTCACATACATAAAAAATAATTTCATATTGGGATTGCTTTCTTATTTCATAAGAATAAGTTCTACAATTCAAAGTACATTTGCAGCATATTTTTTTTTATGTAACTGTGTTCTTTAAGTGACATGTTTATTGCCCAATTAACTCCTTTTATGATCATTATAATCTGTTGATTATTTGATCTCGGGTTAATTAGTGTCATAAATTCTGATTACATGTGTTTACTTAACAATTTCCGAGACAATTTGTAAGCATAGATAAATCGGTTTATTCCCGATTGTCCCACTTTTTAAAATTTTAGAGTTCTGATTGTCCCACATGAAAAGTTCTGATTGTCCCACATTATTTTATGAATAAAATGTTCTTAGATAAACAAGGTAACTGTTGTTTGTTTTGCTAAAAAAACAAGAAATAATTATTGCACATTTAATATTAATTTTATAAAAGTATTAAAAAAAATGTTTTTTAAATAATTAGATTAATGCACTTTTGATTAAACAAATATAATATTTCTGATTTATGAAATATATCTACAATGTTACGTTATTCATAAAACAAATGTCAATACCGTAATTTTAATTCCTTTTTCTCTGTAAAGTTTTTGAATAAATTTAGAAATAATGCATGCAATTTCAAAAAAAAGGTATAAACTCATTTACATTCTACACTCTACATGAACTTGTTTACTAGGGAAGTCGGAGGACATTAATACAACATTCTCTGCACTATTGAAGACTGCTTACACCCAACGTCAGATTCACCTGAACCCAACAACTGTCTTTATTGTTACGAAGCTGATGTCTATAATTTTGCCAGATCAGCCTTTCCAAGAATCACTATTAAAGGTTGTTTTTCCAATATTCCCATTGCTTTTGCAGTCAACAGGACTCTTCACCAACTATAAAGTAGAAACAGACTTCCATAAAAAATGAGAAGATGTGGTATGATTGCCAATGAGACAACTCTCCCAAAGAGACCAAATGACACAGAAATTAACAACTATAGGTCACCATACGGCCTTCAACAATTAGCAAAGCTCATACCGCATAGCTATAAAAGACCCCAAAATGGCAAATGTAAAACAATTCAAACGAGAAAACTAATGGCATAATTTATGTACAAAATAATGAACGAAAAATAAATATGTTACACAGCAACAAACGGCAACCACTGAATACCAGGCTCCTGACTTGGGACAGGCACATACAGAATTTTGTGGGGTTAAACTTATTTGAAGGCGCCAACCCTCCCAATAACCTGGAACAGTGTTGAAACAGAACAACATAAGAATAAACTATAAAAATCAGTTGAAAAAGGCTTTTCTCATCAGATGGGTACAAACAGAAATACATCTAACAAAAACACAGAGTGAACGTGGACGGCTACTTATGCATCACCACAACAAAGACACTGAGTACTGTAACAGGTCTGAGAGTATTCGCAGTTACTGACAGCTAGTTCAAAGCCAATAAAAACTAATTAAAAAAAATATGCATCTAAGACTAAAATTTTATGACTTCATATTATATTCCGTGTTTGATGATACTATAATTGTACCTACTATGTGCAAAATGAAATATGTAAATATTATTATTTGTTCATGTTTTTTTCATATTTTATAAGTTACATTGTTTAGTGACCTTTAATTAACTGCAACACACTATAAAAACAAATTAATCACTATCAAAACAATTCCCAATTGTCCCACATTTAAACTTCCCAATTGTCCCACAAAATTTCATTACTTTTTTACCTGTAATTTCAAAAAGTGGGACAATCGGGAAGACACCGATAAATCAGCTTATTTCCGAAACAATTGTTTTATTAAAAATTTGATGATTGTTGTCAGTAATGAAAGACGATCAAGTAAGTGAAAATGGACACCTAATTTGCAATGCCCCGCAAATCGTTATGAAACAACAAATGATTTATTTTCAAGAATCTTCATTTCTGATGCTTCAAATTTTTCACTCAATTTTTTTGTCAGAAAACTAAAATCAACGAAATTAAGAACCCACGAACATGTAACTTTTGCTCAAACCACTAAATTGATACCCACGAAGAAAAGTAATTTCACAGTATTTAAAAATTTTAAGAAAGGGTTACGAAATAAATATAGCAATGTTAACGATAGTTCAGAGACAAGACTCTTAACTAAAGTTTGCCCAACAAATTTGTATAGCAGATTTACCATAATAGTAGACTACAAATAGTGTATGACATCTTCAAGATAGTTGTCCGGGCTGTCCATATTTTGAATTTAAATCGGAATACAACTTTAAACTGATCAGATAATTTCAAAGCTGGGTATGTAATGCCTAAGGAACCTTCAATGTTTGGTATCAAAAAGTTGTCAAGTGGTATAATCAAGGTGCCCAAGGGGAAAAGTTCTGAATAACAAGATTGTCTGCTTTACTGACCATTGATTTTATGTTGAAAGTCTTAAAGGTAAAGGTTTTACTAAAAGCATTACAGAAACTTAACATTTTTAAAGATCTATGACAATGAGGTCAAGGTCAGATAAATCATGACAGACAGACATATACACCTTACAATTTTTTTATACACCAAATATAGTTGACCTTTTGAGTATACTAATTGAAAAACAGACCAAAACACAAAAACTTAACATTGACCAATGAACCATGAAAATGAGGTCAAGGTATGATTATACCTGCCAGGCAGATATGTGGACCTTACAATTATTCCATACACCAAATATAGCTGACCTGTTGCTTTTAGTATTTGAAAACAGACCAAAACACAAAAAACTTAACACTGACCATTGAACCATAAAAATGAGGTCAAGGTTAGATGATACCTGCCAGGCAGACATGTACACCTTACAATCATTCCATACACCAAATATAGTTGACCTACTGCTTATAGTACTTGAAAAACCAAAAAAACACAAAAACCTAACATTGACCAATGAACCATGAAAATGAGGTCAAGGTCAGATGATACCTGCCAAACAGACATATACACCTTACAATCATTCCATACACCAAATATAGTTGACCTATTGCTTATAGTACTTGAAAAACAGACAAAAACACAAAACTTAACATTGACCAATGAACCATGAAATGAGGTTGAGGTCAGGTGAACTCTGTCTGACAGACATGTAGACGTTGCAAGGAACCCATATACCAAATATAGATATCCTACACAGGCAAATTTTGTTCACGTGAATTTAATGTGAAATTAACGTGAATTTCACGTGAAAAAAATCACGTGAATTTCACGTTAATCGAGCTTATACGCGTAATTCACGTGAAATATTTCACGTTAAACTCACGTGATTTTCACGTGAAATACTGATTCACGTGAAATTCACGTGAAATTTTTCATGTGAAATTCACGTGAATTGAGCCTTCACGTGAACTTTTCACGTGAAATTAACATGAATCGAGCTTCTTTTTTTTAATAAAATTAAAGTGAATTCAGCCTCAATCACACTAATTTCACAGGATTTGAGCTTATTTATGTAAGTCAATTCTAATCTAATACAAATTCTGTTTTGATATATATATAAACATGAAAAATATTATTCTTGGTCTGGACCATGTGTTCATACTTCCATTCTGTTTTACTTTCTTTGTTTCCAAAATTTTTTGGTCTTAAACAAAGAAGGCAAGCAAATGCATCACAGGATATAAATTATATCCAGGGCACCTTAGTTCACTCCTAGAACTTTTTTGGTTGTGTTGAGTCTCAATCCTTTTTTGTAAATGATTTATGGACTGTGGTCATTTATAGAAGTTGATTGCACTGATGTATATTTCATTTGAGTTGATTTTTATTATGTTTGTATAAGTCATATTGTGTGGTCATCAGTTTTGACACAAACCAATCACATTATGGAAAAGACCTACTTGCAAAAGATGCCAATTCTCTTTAAGAAGGTTTTGAAGAAAAAAAACTAGTTCACCTCGCCACATATTCATGTACCTGCTTAAAGCCAGAAATCTTTTCAGTGGTTGTCAAAAATCTCAAAAAAAAAATATTCAGAGAATTTGGTGTTGATGGCTATTCTTGATTCATATTGTAATTTTTTTTATAGCCTCTGGTCAATTAAATAGATCATGGCATATCTTTTAGACACCTGTCTTTTGTTGAGGACTGCATGTTAGCACCTTAATGCCTTTCAGGTGTTTTTGTTGTTATATTGCTGGCTGATTGATGTATACCTCATGTCTCATTGTACTAATAAACTAAAATAGAAAGTTCTGTGAAATATAGCTGATATACAAATGTACCATATTGAAAGGCTCTCTGT